TCCGAACTTCGTTCCTCCATGCTCAGAAAGCCCTCTCCACTGCTCGCACCATCTCGCTACCCAAACCAAGTGACCAGTTGTGGATTGTGACCGACGGGGCGGTCCGTAAGCCTGGAATAGGAGCCACGCTTTACGTCACCCGTGACAACAAACTACATTTGGCAGGGTTCTTTAGCACAAAGCTACGTGGCTCACAACCGACATGGTTACCGTGTGAGGTGGAGGCCCTAGCTATTGCCGTTGCCACCAAGCACTTCAGCCCGTACCTAATCCAATCCCTTCACAAGGCCTGCATCCTAACCGACAGCAAACCGTGCGTACAGGCATTTGAAAAACTCTGTCGCGGGGAGTTTTCCGCTAGCCCTCGCGTCTCCACCTTTCTATCAACTGTGAGCCGGTATCAAGCGTCCGTCAGACATGTATCCGGATCTGCGATCCTACCCTCTGATTTCGCCAGCCGCAACGCACCCCCTTGCGAAGACGAAGCCTGCCAGATCTGCGCCTTCACAAAACTCACCCAAGACTCCGTTGTCAGAAACACATCGGTACAGGATATACTGCGTGGTGATGAGCGCCTACCCTTCACCAGCCGCACTGCCTGGTTAGCCATTAAGGCCGAATGTGCCGATCTGCGGCGTACTCGCGCCCACTTACAACAAGGGACACGCCCTTCGAAGAAACTTACCAACATAAAAGATGTTAAAAGATACCTGAACGTCGCTACCATTGCAAAAGATGGCTTGCTCGTTGTCCGGCGTGATGAACCCCTTGTACCTAGCCGCGAGTGCATCATTGTCCCTCGACAAGTGCTTGATGGACTGCTGACAGCCCTACACATACAGCTCACCCATCCGTCGAGCCATCAACTCCAGGCTGTAACCAACCGGTACCTATATGCCTTAGACATACACAAGGCCATCGACCGCGTGACCCAAAGCTTGCCACATCTGTGCCTCTCTACGCCAAACTCCGAAAATGCGCGTGGAGCAGTCGTCCTGCCCCCCCCCGACGCAGTTGGCGTATCATTTGCCGCAGATGTCATCAAACGCTCAAGACAACTTGTGCTTCTACTACGTGAGTGCGTGACATCGTTTACAGCCACAACCCTGCTGGAAGACGAGCGTCACAACACTCTGCGCGACGCTCTTATCCGTCTTTGTGTCCAACTACGTCCACTAGATGGACCAACAGCCGTCATACGTACCGACCCAGCCCCAGGATTCAAAGCACTCAGGGATGATCAACTACTGAAACACCACAGGATCACCCTTGAGATCGGCGACGCCAAAAACAGAAACAAGAACCCTATTGCAGAGCGGGCAGTACAGGAGGTCGAAAGCGAACTACTCCGCCATGATCCACTAGGCGGTCCAGTAAACCACGTGCAACTCGCCGTGGTCACAGCCAATCTAAACGCGCGCCTTCGCTCACGTGGTCTTTCCGCAAGAGAGATGTGGACCCAACGTGATCAGTTCACAAACCAGCAGATCCCCCTACAAGACCAGGACATCATCCTACGACAACATACACAACGGTTGTCTAACCACCCCCACAGTGAGAAGTCAAAGACACCTATCTCAAAGAGCACCCCCACTGACCGCGTTGCTGTAGGTGATTTAGTCTACCTCTATGCCGATCGGAACAAGACCAGAGCCCGCGATCGCTACCTTGTCGTAGAAATAACCGGCTCGTTCTGCAACGTCAAGAAATTTGTTGGCTCCCAACTCCGCAGCACGTCTTACCGAGTGAAGATGTCTGAGTGCTATCGAGTCCCATCCGAAGTCGTGAACCACAGACCACCTGCTCCCAATAGGGACGCAGACTCATCATCTGACGAAACTCCACCAACACAGCCAGAACCACCGCCTCCGCCAAACATTCCGTGCGCGATCTCGACACCTTCTACCCAGGAATTCCCCCACCTTGATGACTTCCCTACCAGCCACGATGAGTAAGGACACGCGCCCTAGACGCTCTCGTGTCTCGCTCTTGAGTTTGTTCTGTATTTCGCTGTTGTGCCTACAGTAGCATTAAAGTAGCAGTTGCTTTACCTGAACCGTGTCATCGATCGACCGACTCTCTCTTTACTGGCGTAGCATTCAGAGAGTTGTAAAACTTTGGACCTTGAAAGTAAACGGAACACCGCCTGGTATTGGTTCTATATGGCGGTAAACGAAAAGATTGAGCACTCCTTGTATTATAATATTATGTATTTGGTTTTTCATTGAAAAAAAGTTATTGAATTTTAAAGGGAGTGTAGAATTCTTAAATGAAATCATAAAAAGGCATTATTCTATATTGAAACCGTGAGTGGATATCTTGACATTTCAAGGGCTTTGCTCCTTGAAGATCGGGTCATGGGCATCGTACCTAGGTTTGCTTACTATTCTTAGTGGGTGCTTCTCTAAAATAACTATCCTTTTAAGATTAGATTTGTAGGTACATCCCCAATCTAGATTGCAAGAATAAATATATGGAAGGATCATTGAATTATACAAGGTACGAAGAGAGTGAGAAGAAAGAAAAAACCTGGATTCGTGAATGATGGCTATAGATTTAGACATTTTTAGTGGATACTTAAAAAATAAGATATATGACATTTCCAGGTTATATTGTCATCTAGAAGAACACCCAGAAACATAGTTTCCGAGACATGAAGGGTATAGGTCGCCCGTTTATGAACAACTTAAAATTCAAAGGACTGCTTTTTTTTGCTAAGGCTTAAAAACCATGAAATTTATAGTCTTTGATAAATTCAGAGAACGCACATTCGCTGCAAACCAGGTTGACAAGTCGTTCAGTTCCCTATTTAATATACTGATCAGGCAACATGGTCACTGTGGGAGGCAAATAAGTTTGTATCGTCAGTAAACAAGATTGTTTCAGGCAGGAAGACATAACATTAAATCATTGACGTACAGGATAAAAATTAAAGGACCAAGAATGGAGCCCTGAGGTAGCCCACAGGAATCTTCTGAGGGACAGACCTGTAGTTGTTGGAGAGGTAACTTTGATCCATTCTAGTAGTAGACCCGAACAACATAGTGTTCAAGTTTATTGAAAAGAATGTCTCGGTTGACCGTATCGAAGGCTTTCGAGAGATCTAAAAATACTCCAATAGTTGGTTCTTTTCTGTCAAAGGCAGCAGAAACTTTGTCGCACAATTCAACTAGAGCAAGTCTAGGAGAACTTTCCGGCCCGAGGGAAAACAATTTAGGAGACAGGGCACGGCTCATTTATAGTACTGTGGGTATACCTCTGGAAAATTTCTAATTACGCCCCTGCTTAGAAAAATTGTTTGTTGCCGAACACTTCACAAACCAATCATGTTTTGGACATTTGTACAAATTATTTTCAATAGCTGTGTCTGTCTTTTAAAGTCTGGCTACGAATTGTCTGGCATGTAGAGTACAGGGTCGTAACGAGGTAAAATTTGTATTGTAAACATTTTACCAAACTAAGCAACGAAGTTCATCTGACTGACCACACTACGCGCCACATTAACCGCCGTATAGTGCCAGTACCTTACTGGCATGCACCGATATCAGCCAGGTTGTGGCAGCCTTGTATACGTACAGGCTGAATCTTAACCTGCTAGCAAGCTGTCCATTTAAAGTATATCAGTGAGGCAGCTAGCTGATTCTCTACCAGCCTATAAACTTTTCCGTTTTCGTTCTTTGTTTGCGAGTTAAAAGGGTTTTGTTTCGGCATCATCCTTTCAGTAAAAAGGTGTTTGTAGGTTGGGTAAAAACAAACGAACAAATTAACAAACAAAAAACGAACAAAACTAGGCTTGAGATTAGAGATACATAAAATATCAGCAAGTCCACAGCAACAAACCAATGAGTGGTGTTGGATCTCCCAGTTGTAGACCTGGATCAGTGCAATTAAAGTTGTAGAAAAATACGGAACGGCAAACTGGTCCTTACGACAAGGCGAAGAAGAAGTAAACAAAAGAATAAAACAAAAAATATATATTTAATTAAATTGCCCAATATTTTGGTTTGAAAGCAACCCTTCTTCAGGGGCTAAAAAAATGAAAATAAAACTAAGATTTCTTTAAAAATAAGACTTAATTCTTATTTGGAAAACGAAGCTTTCGGAGCGAGGCACAAAGTGCCGAGAAAAAAGGGAGAGCTGCTGTTACAAAAGGAGAGCTGCTGTTAGTCGTCTCGTTACCCAGCCTCGTTCCAAAGATAATATTAGCAGGTTTGTAACACATTGGCTCTATTCTACATCAACTTTAAAAGTTGACTACAATTAACAATCAACGTCGCAAATAACTCCTCTACGCCCGGTGATCAAGTCCTATCAGGGGCACCCAACGAGAAAATAATTCAAACCACTTAAACATAGCATTGTTAAAACGTATTTTAGTATTTAAACGGTAGATATAGGCATATTTTTATCCCCTAAAAATTTTTCATCTGTTCGGATTTCCCAGCCGAAAGTCTAGTGATCCGAAAATTATAGGGATCAAAACTTACGTTTTCGAAAATTTCAGCCAGAAAAAAGTCTCCCGAAAATTCTAGGTGACCTTTTAAGGGTAAAAATCCGTTAAAAATGGGCCATAATACCACTTTTTAGATGTTCGAAAATCCTAGGAGAGGCAGGCAAGCAAGAAGTTTTACAACAAATGTTACGAAAATTCTAGATCTCAAATCGTCTTCCGAACAGATATTTTCCGAAAATTGTCGTTGGATGCCCCTGTCCTATAGCTGGAGCCTCTTTTAAAACCGCTTTTTGGGTTGAAAGTCTAACATTTTTGTCATTTTCCATTGTTTTTAACCTCCCTATAGCAACCACTTGACACACAGATCTAATATCTTAATGGTGCAAATTTGATGAGGAGTGTCACACAAAAGCCCCCAAGATGAGATTTGTTCTTTCATAAATGTTATAGTGCTACATTTCAGATATCTGCTGTTCACTACTAGCTGTACAACTTAACCCAGTGACCACTTGGCACGGCTTGTATTGTTAATTAATCAGATATTGAAAGAAGTAACTCTTAACCTCTGTCAATAAACTACAGTATTTGACTGGCCTGCAGACTGGCTGTAAACAGACACTAATTCATGATGCCAGTAGTAACACTGCAATTTTAAATCATCTCGGCTATGGAGATTAGCCTGTAATACAAAGATGAAAGTTGGAAATTCCCTTTCGGGCAGTCTTAGGTCAAAGGTTTGGGTTTGCAAATTGTACTTGGTTTTTGTCCAGTCTCAAAGTCCTGGAAACAATTGTGATGAGTCCTGTGTCTTACTTTTGCAAGTTTCCTGCAGTCTAGAACTTCTGGAATTTTTCTAGCCTGCCTGGCCTTCCCCCTTCCCTTTTCAATGCCGGCCACGCACGCTAGAATTTTTCCAGCTAAGACTCCAATTCTCAGTTTAGCAAGTTCTTTGCATTTCCCCTTATTTTACCATTTGCCACCTCTAATGATTGAACAGTAGAAAATCATACATTGCTTTAGCCTGCGTAGCAAGCGGTTCCAGTCAAGTTATAGCACCTGTTTTTGCTCTTGTCCTAATTTCCTTGATGAACTTGCGCGGAAACGCTTGCTACGCAGGCTAAAATTGCTTAGAAAGGACCAACACAAACCAAGGCTCTGCTCTAAGAAAAATTCCAGAGAACCCTTAAGCCTAGAATTTCAAGAAGTCTTTTTCGGTTTGGTCATTCATTGCTAAGGAGTTCACTGTAACATGGAGATGAGAAGTGTGACCTCACATTACCATAGTAGAACAAGATCTGGAACTCAACAATCCTGCTTGACAGAGATGGCCATTTGCATTGTCGAACGATGGAAAAAAAGTATGGTTTACTATTTTGTTTCTTAATGCAATCATGCACAGGAAAGTAATACATGTCAATTTTTTTTGTTTTTTTCTGTCATATTGGCAAGACCACAGTTTGTTGAGATCCAGAAAATTTGCCACTATGGCAACATGACATTATGAATTCTCCTCTCTATAAGTGCCCAATATAATGCTTTGGTTACCTGGTTACCCAAAGGTAAGAGTTAGTTGCTATGGGCTGCTTGAGTGGACAGACTCATACACTCAGAACTGTCGGTGTGTTGTTTCATTCTCGTCTTTAATAACTCTCATGATCACTGCTGACAGTACAGATCAGTCTCTACCACTACTTCTATAAATAATAGCAGTCAGTGAAACTGAGAATATTCTTGTTGTTGTGATGAACATTTTTATGTCTCATGAATTGTTAAAAGCTGGTGAAAACAAATCGGAATTATAAGGTGTTACCATAATTTAATAACTTATATCTTAACATTTTAAATTATATTAAAGATTTTTTTTATATATTCACAATGTAACCTAATGTTTATTTACAACCTTCCCTTTTTGTAATATTCAAGTGACAGATGAATTCTAAATACTCTGCTAAATATTCCATAATTAAGACTTTCTCATAAATAAACTCTATCCTTTCCAGATAAAAGTTGAAATTTCTCTGACTTAAGCTACAAACTCTTCATTTAAAGTGACCGAAAAAATTGAAGAAATTCACCCACAAAAATACATCAAGCCAAAATAAATTTGCATCGGGTTTATACGTGTACCTTTCACGTTGTACGCCAATATAATTTACAATAATTTATCAGGGTGAAAATGGCCATGGTTTTGGAATTCTCAAAAACTTTGGGGTCAAAAACAACAAAATCTCACCAACATCATTCATATTTCTATGTGTCTGACACATTCCCCAGGACACAAGAACACGGTTGCTATTGAAAACCCCCCAAAATAGTTCATTCTTGTGGTGTCAATAGACTGTCATCTGCCGTCGTTAATTGATTATCCCTTACCGACCACAACATTCCCCAAGGATCGATTTAGCACTATACCAAATGTTCTAGGAAGCCAAGACCATCTTGCCGTAAAACTGTACAATCCAATCTGAGAGCCGTCAACAGCGATCGCTGGTGTAGAAAAAAACCCCAGTACATTTCAAAACTTTCTTCATCGCAACCAATAAAAAAGAAAGATGAGAAGGAAGGCGACAGCTGTTTCGTGTGCAGACAACAACAAAGTTCCCAGTGGGACAAACCTTGTATTAAAAGAAATCTGCTCAAAATTCGCCCATTCACACTCAAATTATATCTTGTAAGCCCAGTTTCACGCTACATTTTCGAGTTCTTGAGGCACTGAGTGCTTGGGGGTCGTAGAATGTTGCGTTACTATGTGATGTCGTAGGCCACTTGGGCTTTTGTAGCTTTTCCCGCAATGGCATTTGTGAGCTTTTATTTTGGGTCTGTTTGTGTCCTTTCGGTGTCCATATTTCGCATGATATTTAATCCCGTTAACATTCTTGTATCGCTTTCCGCAACCAGGAACCGGACAAATATATCGCTTTCCTTCGCCATCGTCCGTTGCCACAGCATTCAACACCAGGTCGCTTGCGAAGCTATCTGAAGTCCAAGAATCGTCGCTGTTGTCGCTCAAATTTCCATCATCATCTCCCCCGTCAAGTACATCGGAGTTACTAATTGTTTGTAGGGTGATTTTAGGAGGAGTAGAGCGTTTCTTCTTAATAACACCGTGGTCGGGGCTCGGCGTTGAAGGTTCTGTAACGCTCAAAACTGGCTCCTTCTGTTTTATGGCATTGCGTGCTGCATCGGTGAAGAAACAGTTGATGTAGGAAAGCGGTAAGGCCGCAGGTTGAGCCGCTTCCTGTTTCTCGAGAACTCTCGGGTCCTTCTCTATGTGCACTACTTCGATATGGTCGATTAAGTCTAATAAAGATGTACACTGCTTGCCACAACCGTGCCATAAACAGGAGTAGCGATAAAACGCGGCCATTCTCGCCTGCTCGCATCTGTTTCGACAGGTCGCGCCATTACATCATCGCGAGCTTTTTCAAACTTTTGACGTCACGTCAGTCATTGCGCAATCAGGTGCTGTCCAGATGTTTCCAGCAACACGTGGTTTGCATGATCACCCGCACGTGGTCCAATTTTTTTGGGAAAATATTCTGTTATTTTCATTGTATGTCTCCAGTTAATCGAATATTGGTTCATTGAAAGTGAGATAAAAGAAAATTAAACTACCACGATTTCTGACTGTTTCAGGATATAATCCTTACATGGCCCCCAATTACCCTCAGGGATCTCGGACTAAATTTTAAAACCGTGGCCCGGGTTTTGTTTTCGACGTTTTGAAGAAGTTTCAAGTGTAAAAGGAAATGTGTTAAAAGGGTACTTTTTAAGAAGTCAGAAAAAGATAACATGACCTTAAGCGACACCAAGAGGCCATTGTTGAACAAAACTCGTGGTTTCTTGAATGGATTTGTTTTGCCGTCCCATTGAAATTTGGGCTGGGTTTTCGTGTTCCGACAGGTGTAAGCCTAGTGGGGGAGTGTCAAGCCAACTGTCCTCGTTTTCTCCTTGTCTTTTTTTCTCTCTTCATGTTTATGAAGAGATGATGTACGAGTGTTTTCTTCAACGGCGTCTATTTTATTGTAACAGTTTTCTTTTTTTGTTTTCAAGGGTCGATCCGTACGCGTGACTGTGACCTCTTTTCCTTATAGTCTCCTTAACGAGTGCATCAAGGATTCCCGCAGTGGAACAATTATGGCAAGGAATGCTTGACTGAAGTTCAAGTCCATTTTGCTTACTTGCAAATTACTCTTGACTTGCTTTGAAACTTTACTATATCCAAGAAATTTGCTTCTAAAGGAAAAAAAAATAATGATAGAATTTTTCGGGTGGAATTTGAAAATTGAAAATTCGTGTAAGTGCAGCCATACCCCGGCCCCGTAGTCCTGCTAGGAAAACCAAACTCGTTTTGCGGTTGCCGTTTGTTTACACACCCTAAATTTGTATCTGTTCTAATTAAACTGATTCAAGTTCTTCCCAAGTGAGATTATAGTGATTTTGTTTAGAACAACTTAGCTCCTTCTAGATATAAATCTTTAGAACCTGAAATCAAACGAGGGCTGCCAGAATTGCTTTGAAGGAGAGTTACCTAGCTTACTCACGATCAACTGTTTTGCCAATTGCAAAGTTGGGAGTCCCTTAAGGCGCGTTATATTTTGCTCAATTTCACTTTTGTTTATAAGTGCCTCCTTAACAATGCTGCTCGCTGCTAGTGTTATCAAGATGGCAGGATTTCATTCTGAGGTTGAAGACGTCGAGAAGTCTATTTCTCAGTTCACCGCTAGTTTCCACTGAATTTGTAGGGTCTTTGTGTTAAAGTAGAAATCCAGGGTCACGGATAGTGTCTTGAAGACGGCACATTGTGAATTTGTAGACACAGTTAATTAATTCAATGGCGTCGTCGTCCTCCTGATCCTTGTTTACAGCGATTGTCCTGTTTTCAATAAAATTCTGAAGCCTGATCCGTTGACCGTTCTGTTCGTTCCATAGGAACCTATTTTTACTCGCATTGTATTCGAGTAACTGATCCAGTTCCGATAGGGCAGGCAATCGTTTTGTAACCTGTTCCAGGCGTTCAGATTGTGAGGACAATACAAAGAGAATTGAGAAGAAAAAAACAAAACAAAAAAAATAGCGAGGGGTGGGGTAATCGTTTTGGGAAGGAGTAAGCGACTTTAAACAGGTTGCGGGACCGGAGCAATCTTTTCTACGTCCGCACGCCACCACGACCACTCAAGAAGCCGTGTGGCTATTTCATTGCTTCCTCCCGTTAGCCCTGTTGTATAATTCCCCCTGTTTCTCCCGCTTCCCTTTTTTAGAACCCCCACCCCCCCACCCTCCTACTCCTTGTTCTCAACAACTCCGACCACCCTGTCCTCCCCCATCTTCAAGGGAAATTTCTTACGGTAAAAGGTCGTTTCGCCCAAAGTCACGGTTGTTTCGCCTGGACTTAAGTGATTCCCCGATGTTTATTTGTCGTTCTGAAATCCTGGAAAAAGGAATAAGCGTGAAACAACAGTGACTGTGGATGTGGATCAACAACCTTTTTTCAGTGAAAACTTCACACAAAATATATTAAAGATCAAGGAAGCGATCGTTGTGTTGTGATCGCTGACTTACATTTAGACCTCAATTTTATGTAAAGTCTTTTAGTATCTCGCGTGTAATTATCGAGATCGTTTAGACCTTTCAGATCGCTGGACCTTTTTTTAGCAATCGCAGCAATAGTATCCAAGCTGAACTAAAAATTATCATTTCGTGTTGTAGAGTATCGTCAGGGACGTAGCCAGCCCGCAGACCTGGAGGCCCAAGCCTTCAAATTTTTGGTTGGATCACTCTATCGCTTATAATGAATTATGCCAGGAGCCTATGATTATGCGTTGCTGGGGTGAGCTAAATAGCTTAAGAACTCCAAGTGTTGGTGAGGTCAGTACGTACCAGCAATGCGTGCAATTTTCAGGATATGCGGAAATGAAAGGCAGCCAGGCTATAGACTAAGAGCAGTCTCTCTTTTTTCTTAGTCCGTCGAGTAAAACGCCCGAGACGTGCAAATGACCTCGCGCGTGACTGAAGGCGCGAGACGGGAGAGGCCCTCGTTTCTCGCGTCTTCGCCGCTCAACGCACGTGCGCATGCACTCCCCTTACTAAATCTGAAGAAAAAGAGAGGCTGCTCGTAGTCTAGCCAGGCTACAACTTGTCGAAAAGCTGGCTACGCCCCTGTCGTTTGTCATCGGGCGAATCGACTTCAGTCCGCGGGCGAAACGACCACAATTCGTTGTTCCTCCCGGGATATTTTACCCTCCCTCTTGAGCCCCTTAAGGGTCACATATAGCTTCTTGCAAGAAATTAAACCCTGAAAAATTAAAGGTACTGCAGTCAAAAAGGTCCACAGAGCTAATAAGCCAACTGGTAGATGCATGTTTGTGAGAACCTGTGAATCATTAATCCATCAATCCTGTGTAGTAGATGGTATAAAAATGAATACTGAAGCATACAGAAGTGCATACTCAGTTCCACATAAACTGGAATATTATTTAAGCTATTCTATTTAATATTATTATGTATTCGCCTAAATGCTGGATTCAGTGGTGGGTCCAGGGGGGTCCCCCTTATTTTAGAACAAACTGAGGTCCAAAGGGCCGAAAAAATTTTTCTTGAGACTCCCCCCCCCGCCCCATCTGAGGGTCTGGATCCGCCAATGGGATTATTAATTTTACAGTGAGATAAGAAACAGTTAACGGTGGCATGGAACCACACCTGTTTTACCATGGTACTGTTTTATAAGAACCACGGCCAACAACAGTACAGCACTCTTACGTCCATTTCAGCAACTTACGTTTGACATCATGCACTAGGCTATGGTGTTTTTTATTAGTATTTATGGTCTTTCTAAGTTGAAGTGAGGTAAACATGAATTTTGTATGATATATCTTATACACCATGGTTGCCAGGGAATTAAGCAAGCCACTCTTGACTTTGAGGCTAAAAGAGTTTAAGGTGTCTACTAATATGTGTTGGACAGATCCCAAGGTGATGTTCTCTATATCATCAACGTCGGCAACAATTCTGTTATATATGGTGCTTGTTTGAAGAAGTATTTCTAGGGATTGTTAGCACGTGATAAGTGTTACATACAGTGTAGTATCTTGTTCCAACCTTTAACCCATTCGCACCCGAGCTGCCCGTAACCACACGTGCGGATCCACGTTCTTTCTACCGCTTGTGACATCATCAGTTTTAATAGTCAAGAGCAACTTTGTCTGCTAACTTAGGCAGAGTGAAAAGATCTTTCAAACCATACCAGAATGAGCACAATTCAGTTAAAGACACCAGAGAAAAAGGCAAAAAACCATGTAAAATTGACCTGAAAATTTCCATGAAAATCTTGTTCCACTACCCACCTACCCTTCCTTTCATCTAATCCTAAGATCCTAAACGTTTTCCTAAAAACTTTTTCCACCAAAATAAAGCCTACCAAATGCCCAGCAAGACAAAGAAAATGAGGCAAGAAAAGCGAAAAAAGAGGGGAGGAGAGAAAGCGAAAAGTAAAAGTCAAGACTGCTGTGTCACTTTTAAACCCAAAAACTATCTGCCCAAGCCCGAACTTTGCAAGCTAAAATTTTGCATCTGGATCTCAACCTGCTAAGTGTAAGACCTGCAAACGGCTTTGTGGTAAGTTTTAGTTCTTTATAACACGACAGTGACCAGAGAACCGCTCGCCTAGCCTCAAAATGCATTATTCGGCAAAATCTCCAGGAGCGAATGGGTTAAGCAAAGTACCAAGCTTTTTGAGAAAAATCCACCTTTCAGCATAAAACAACCAAATCTGGCTATTTAATGTAAAAATATCAGGTAAAAAAATCGGCAAAAGGTGATTTCTAGGTTTTTTGATCAAGGAAGAAGTTGGGGAACAAGAGCTTGATGTTGAGAGTCCTTGTTTTTCAGCAGGGCCTTTGACTCCTTGCTGCTCCTCAGTCTCTATTATTGGATATACTGTAGGACACAACTAAAGGGCATTGTTTTTTTCATCATCTCACTTTCTTAGGCTTCCTCTATAAGGCCTCTACTTTGGGGATCAATTTCATAGTAAAGCATTCTAAATTTCCTTGCAGCCAGGAAGGAAAATAAACCCCACTTGAAGGTCATAAAATTCCAAACGCACACAATGAAGTTTCGATCTGTATGAATTCCTGTCAAAAATGAGAAACAACAATGTCACTCCCAGTAGAAGCATGTTCAATGGTATCAGTCCCACTAAATTAACCCTTCATACCCTTAAAAAGAGGGAAGCCAGGTTCACAATACCACAGGTTTACCTTGATAAATTTCCAAAAGAAGGAAGCTTGGTTATATATAGTTTAGCTGCAAACTCTTGGAAATATATAAGTTTGAATTTCATGCCTTGAGTTAGAGAGAACCTTGGGAATGAGGTTGCTTGCATGACTGAAAATCAGTTTGCCAAAATCTCCTTCCACTACATAACACCTCTCCTTGGAGGTGGCAAATTTTTATATGCAAACTGCTCATAGACTACTTCACACATTCACACTTCGAGGAGGAAAAGCTTACTGACAAGGGAAAGGCATGATTCTGACAGGTTGTTTCTGCCCAACTTTAGATACTGACGCCCTGTGGAGAAATAAGTTAGGGATTCCAACTACTTTCACACAAGGGCTATTTCATTGAAATTTGCACCCCCCCACCACCCGCCTCCATCCCCTGGTTAAGGACTTCTTACCTCCAAACTTAGATCAAATAAAAATTACATTCATCCCTGAAGACTTCCATACAATATGGGTCTACCAAGCCCTAGGATTTCAAATCCCACGGATAACAATATTTTTCGGTTCCATGCCCGAGATCATGGAAACCCATCTGTAATGATTTTTTGGTTCCGCGAAAATTCATAGTAACCCACTTTTATTTCTTTAAATGAACAGAGACATGTTGTTAAACATACTTTAAAATTAAAGAACATCAGTGTGTCCTATTATTTATGAAAAAAACTTCAATGTCTATTAAAATGTCAGAGGTAGGTCAATTTAAGTGTTAAATGTGTGTGCCTTAAAGTGTCTAAAACCCCAGACTCCTCTTCGATGCAACTGAAGAAGTATACTCACTTGAAATGTTCACTATAAACATCTTGTCTTTGTCATGTCTTTTCATATTTAAAGAGATTTAGGCCTCATCATCAGTTTCAACAGTGAAATCGTCACCAAAAGATCACCTTCTAAACATTTTTAAACTTTTCGAGTCATGTATTTTTTTTCTTGGCACTGGAAGCCATAACAATCGCTGTTGTTAACTGTCAAACATCTTTCATGTAAGAGTCATCAGTAATGTGCAGTGCACTTTGGAAACAATTCAAGATGACAGATGATAGAATAACGGTATTGTTTTAATTTTGTTTATAAGTTGAGTCATAACCAAAGAATAATATTGCTCTACTTGTTAAGAATATGAGTGGTATATCGCCTGAATATATCCAGATGTCACTGGGAAACTATTTTTTGGCTCCCTTATTTTAAGATCAAGGTAATGACATGATCATTACATGTACTTTGGAATCCTAGGGCTTGGGTCTACTCCCTAAAGAATAAGGGTCTACCCCTGAAGAATTTCGTAAAAAGTAAGACGGAATTCACCAGGAAATTGAGTAATATTTTTAATTTTATGTGGACAAAAACCTTGTGCCAGAATAATTAATTTTAAAGAATATTGCATTATTTTTTACCTTTTTCAAGCACTAAAGATGTCATAAATCATCTCTAGTAACACCAGAGAAAATTTCTCATGGAAGTCTGAGAAAATGAGTGTCAAATTTCACAAAAATTGTGATTACACAGATAAAATTCTGAAAATTTAATGTGTAAGATGTAATTTTGTGAAAATTGACATTCACTTTCTCGGGCTCCCATAAGAATTTTTTTTTTGGTGTTACTACAGATGATTTATTACAGCTTTAGCCCTTGAAAAATGTAAGAAAGAATGCAATAATATGCTTTAAATTATTCTGGTACAAGATTTTTGTCCACTAAAAATCAAAATTACTCAATGTCCTGGTGGATTCTGTCTTAAAGCTTTGTACATGAGTACCGCAAAATAATGATCCCCATTGTTGACTGCAAATGATCATGTGAAAAGTAGAGGAATGGAATGGGTTTTAGGCATGGATGGAAATTGTGCTGTCAACTTGAACAATGGGTAAAACAATGAAATGAACTGAATTAAAATGATAAATAACGATTCTGCTTCTTTAGGCAATTGTTTCTGCTTTCTATTTAGCATTGATGTTGAACTTTGCTGTGAAAATCTAAGACAGGAATTTAAGGACGTCAAGCAGGAAACTTGTCTTTTATTTTAACGCTGAGGAATGCAGAAATATGACCCCATATGAATTTGTCGCTCTGTACAGGTTTCCGGTAATTTCTAGCAGCTACAGCTAGTGAAAATGTCATGACTAGCTATAAGTAAGTTATTGGTGCAAGTGTGTGTATTCATTTCTTGTGCCTTTGCTGCTGGAGACAGTGACAAAGATACAAAATCAGGGAATGAGAAACAGAGGAACAAGTAAGTGTAATTTTTTGTGCCTATGTCAGAATTCTTCAAAGAGGGGTCACATTACAGCACATTTTTATTTGGGGTCAGTTTCAGAGACTTTTGCAGTCACAAAAATTATCATTTTCCTAAGTTGATACTGAGTATTCCATACATGCGCACTGGATTTGGGAAATTTCTTCTTAGAAGATATTATTTCTAATTTAAGTACAGTATGTTGGAGTTTTGTTCAGTTCAGCTTACTGTCAAACTCAGAAAACCATGAACACCTGAAAATTTTCAGGAATGTTGATTGCGTACTGGCCAATCACAATAAAGTTCAGGATATGCAAGCAAACCTCAAAACCACAAACTAATTACTGTTGCTATCTGTGGTTTAGTTATCTTACGCCTTATTGGTCAATTTCTCGCAACACAATAACATTCTATAAATACTTCTGGTGTTCACAGTTTTGTGAGTTCCACAGTAATTATGTTTACCAGTAATTAAGCAATATGACACTGCATTGCTTTTCAAGTGCTATTTTTTTTTTCATTGATACTTTTTAATTTTAATGTCTTGTTTACATTTATTATTTGTGTTTCATTGGATACTGTGACAAAGTTTTGAATGTAGTTTTACAGTTACTTTCTTTTTTCCAACTATTTGTGAAGCCAAATTTATTGTGATAATAAACTAGACATGATGGTTCAGTAACTTGAGTCCAAGCAGGGGCGTAACTGGGATTTTTTCAGAGGTACGCACAATTCTCCAAATCATTTTGCCTCCCCCCCTAAAAAAAAAACTTCCTTGATTAAAGATTTGGTTATGTTGTAAGCCTAAGAATTTTTTCCTGCATACAAAATGACATTAGCAATTTATAAAATACTTTGTTGCGAGATGGGTCTATTGACTGATGCACAACAAGGCTACATACTTTTCTGGATTCGTCAGGAATCCCAGTAATTTTGTTACTGGGTTTGTTTTGTCGAAAATGTTTTGTTTTGGTCAAGTCTCTATAGAGTTTGAATCTGAAATCTGAAGTGAATCTGATGGCTTGCAAATTTGCAATGTTCTGTAGTGCAAACAATTTGTCCAGTGAATCAGTATACTTTCCCGCATTTTATCGTACGAGTTTGCGGTAAAACCAAAATGGAAATGTCACGTTTATGAATATAGGGCATCTTAGCAACGACAACAGCAATGTCCCTAGCTATCAAAATGAATGCACGTTTTTTTAAAACTTTTTTTTTTGTGTTTATTTCAGCTCTCTTAAAATGGCATGTTTGGACCCAGAGAAGAAATTGAACTTTTTAAAAATAATAATAATAAATAACTTTATTTAAAGAGGGTAGCACAGAATAGTTGCAGAAACTAGTAAACTCGTGGCCCTCTAAACAATGTCCTCCAAACAATGTCACAAAAGGAAATTTAACATTGTGTTCACAGATTACAGGCTGTAAAGAAAAGCACACTGCGTGTGAGAAATTTGTTGTTTTTCATCTACTTATTGGGCTCGTTTCGTTTGTGTTCTCATTGCCTTCACCGTCATTGTCCCAGAATTTATCGATGTGTGCCTCCCATCTTTTCACTAGAGATATACCGTAAAATTCCGAAAATAATTCCCTCCATTTATAAGCCCCTCCAAATATAAGCCCCCCAAAATCATAACGCAAACAACCCTCTGTTAAATCGCCCCTCCGAATATAAGCCCCCCCGGGGGACTTGTACTTGGAATTTGCCCTCGAATACAAAGTAACACAAAGCAAAAATGGTAAATTTCCTTTCCACTACAAGCTAGCTCAGTCAATTTTGAAACGCAAATTTCCCTCCGTACATAAGCCCCTCCGAATATAGGCCCCTCCAAAAATAAGCCCCTCAAAAAAGGCCTTTGAAAAATATAAGCCCCGGGGCTTATTTTCGGAATTTTACAGTATGTCATTCAAGATTCTCTCCATTAATGAATTACCTCATTTCTCTGGAAACCGACATTTGGGTGGAGAAGAAAAAAATCCGTTGTTTTAGGAAAAAAATATACTTCAAAGAAATAACCAGAGTTGACTAAATTGAGGCAAACTGTGCTCTTAAAATAATTATTCTTAGATATTTTGCTATCTTTTTAGAGATAACTTTTTATTTTATATTATTTATTCATTTTATATCTTTTTTGTGCACAACTTTTTCAGGTATGCACTTGCGTACAGTGGGTATGGGTAGCTACGCCACTGCCAAGCCATTTTGATTTTCCTCTCGCGATCATTTGCAGTCAACAATGGGGTTAATTCACTGTAGAGGATCATTTACGATCCATTTTGGGGATCAATTGTGGTCTGGGGATCATTTGCGGTACTGTACAACTTCACCCCCCAAAAATTCCATATTTTTTAACTCTACCTCTAAAGAAATCCTGAATTTTTATAAAATACCCCTGAACAATTCCATTGGTCTTCAACCGGGGTGGGAGGAAATTAAAATATTACGCAACAGCCCATTTTGACACTCAATCGTAAAATAGCAATTCCAGCATCTGTTCCAGCATCTCATAAATGCACTTCATGCATGGTATGGTATCGACCAAGTCCATTCAGACTTAAAAGTCACCTAAAAAACAACCTCAATTGGGTTGGGGGTGGGGTTCGGGACGGTTGGATTAAAACGACTATCAAAATACCTGTTTCGTGACGATGAATTCCGAGGGCAAGATTTGTGAAAAAACCTACCACTCCCGCAATCAATCCTGTCAGCCCAATGTACATTATCACGGTGAATTTCGACCTTGGAATGATTCTTTCAATATCTCGGCGAACCGCAAAATGCAAGTGTAGGAAAACAACCGCAAACAGTGCAGAGACTCCAGCCCAGATGGCGGCATTGTAGTTGTGATATACTTTAGCGAATACGATGCAACCAGCGATTCCCACGACTACTCCTACAAACGCCCAAATGATTCTCATTATCAGTCTATATTTTAGGTAACCTCTCAATGCTGCCTTTAGACGTTCTCCCATTTTTACAAGGCTGTTGAGATCAGCTGAAGCCCTACAAACAGAAATTTCGTTTTCGTGACTTTCAGATAGTGTTATTTCAGTGGCTGTACATGACGTACCTACTATACCGCTGCTCATTGAAAGCGCGCCAGTCAGCCATTTTATTTCATCCCTTCGTCTACTCATCGTTTTAATTTTATATTTAAAATGTTGATGATTTAAAATTAGGTTTTCGGAAGGAAAACGTGCGATAACATCTGCAGAAAACACGATCAACTTTCTTGGTTTGGGAAGGTAGGTGTGTTGTTCTTGTTTGAGGAAATACCGCTGTCACTGTCAGCTCTGACATCCACATGCGTTCAAGGTCCGTGCATGCACATTATTTTGAAGAATTGCTTGCTGTTCTCTGTTGATATTTCATAGCTTATAGATCAGACTAGTTCAACTGAAAATGAATGCTTTGTTAACAAAAAGTATGCACGGAGTAATATAGCGAGTGCTTTTGCAAGAATAGATCTAATCTTATTAAAATACACGATACTTATGGTAAGGACACACAAAAATAATAGAAGTTTAGTGCACTTGTTAAGTGCTAGATCTCCCTTGCCATACCTTAGGGAGCTAACTGGTCTACAAGATATTTATTTCAATGATGTTTCCAATGCATAATGAGGGAAATTCAGCACTTCACAAATAAGAGTTTCAATGTCTAATAACTGCAATTTGACCTATGTGTCTTGTATGTTTTGTTTCCCAATGAATGTTCCGAGGGAATTTTCCCCTGGTATCTTTTCATAATTTAAGTGTACAAGTGCACATGAATAAGATGAAATTTGAAAGAAACAAATCACTAGAGTATTATCACATGATCTGTATAGGGAAAACAAATCTAAGAGGTCTATTGTATTTTGCCAAAAGTTTTTACCGCTGGAAGCTAGCCTAGTTGAACCCCTTTAATGTGGAAACGTTTTATGGATGATCCCGTAGTATCCATATTAAGTGGATGATGTTGTTTAAGCATGGCTCGTACCATCTTGGGAAAGGTCTTGAATTTTAGTAGTTGAAGTCCTTGAATTCGGTTAAGGTCCTTGAAAAGTACTTGGTTTCTTTATTAGGTCTTGAAATTCAGTCCGTTGTCTTTCCTTCCTTGTCTTGCCTTCCATTGTAAGACCTTGTAACACGACACCTCACACATGTTGTTATATTTATAAGCGCCTATTGCATGCTAAATTCAACCTGGGCGTCCTGTGATTTGGCTTGCTTGGGAAAATGGATGTATTTATTACTTAAATGTAATTTCCTTTGTAGGTAAGGAGAATTGTAGAACATTGGTTTGGTTGACTTTTGTAGCAGCAAATGGGAAGAGATAGCAAGTAAGTTGAAATCTATGGAATTTAGTAATTGAAAAGCAACTCTTTTTTCCCCAGTAATAATATTACCAATTATAGCTATTGCTAAGTGCCAACAAGCAAAGATTTTACATATATGCACGTGCTGTTGAATTTGTTTAAAAATGTCGTGAAACACAGTTGATGAAAAATAGATTGAACTTACTTTGATTGCATTGAAAATAGTGCAAACTTAAAGCAAGGGGCACACATACACCGACCAACAGCCAGGCTTGTACCTCATGCACGCACACAGCCATATTGCGAGGGCAGTGGCAGCCACAGACAACTGTTTCACCCTTATTGGGGACCACCAGCGTGGTAAGGCGGTTGAGTTAATGAACAGGGAAAACTCGCGTCTCAAAAACCCCTTACTGCCGAGGTGAGTGCAAAGCAATCTATCAAGTGCAAGCTCCACACAACACATGTGGGAGCTGTTGGCTGGGAACCACACAGCAGTTCTACCACAACATGCACAGAGAAGGTGGATCGCGAGTTACCAGTAAAGTAAAGCAAGGGGCACACATACACCAACCCACAGACTTGCTATTACCTCTTGCATGTGCACAGCCATATCACGTGGGCAGTGGCATCCTTGGACAGCTGTTTCACCCTTACTGGGGTTCATCATCATGGCATAGCCGTCGGTCAGTGACTGGGGGAAACCCGTGTATAAAAGACACTTTCCTGCTGAGGCGAGTCCGTTAAGTGCCAGCTCCACACTACACATGTGGGAGCTGTTGGCTGGGAACCGCATGGCAGTTCTCACATGACATGTGCTGGGAAGGAAGATCATGGGTTTGGTGTATGTGTGCCCCTTGCTTTAATTTTTCTGTCGAAAATAGTGAACGAAACTGTTCTACTGCATAAAGAATTTGAAATCCTGACTTTATGCAGCAAATTTTTCGAGATATTGAAGTTTGAAGATTGATTTTTTATTTTTAAATTGTTATTTTTACTAATTTTCATTTTGCATAAAACTTTTGGAATATGTCTTATTTTAGGATTTTGTTGAGTTAAAATCCAGATGAAAATTTCTTTCCCTGGATTGATATTTGTGCAATACAAATCAATAAATATTATTATATTATATATTATTATTTGTGTTTTTGCCCGAAGTTGCGCACAAGTCATTTTGCATAAAATTTAGTGGTCTTATAAGCAAAGTTAAAATCCAAGAAAAATCACATTAAAGTCTGCAAATATTTAATGTACAAAGACACAAAAAATTTTGCTGCGTTATTTTTCTTAGTGGCATGCAATAAAAAAGTCCAGTGGGCAGATGCGACAGATATTGCGTAAGAGTGAAATCATCCACCCGACGATTGGTTGAAGACGGGATGAGCACAGGACTCGCAAACACGCACACGGCTCGTGGATTCTCTGATCTGTATCACGTGTTTGTTCGAAAACAATGCATTCCCTGTTCTGCATTACGTCATGGTTGCCTGACATCACTCTATGTTACATCGATTCGAGATTTTTTCTGCCCCTGGAACAATCGTGCATGGCTCTATAAGGCTGCCGCGGAGACGCGAGGCTGTTTATTGGCAATTAGAAAGTCAATATGACCATCTAGCGGTATTTCAGACAGATTCAGATGTAGAGTTATTTAAGAACTACATTCTTTTAATAAAAGAAACTTTGATGGAGATGTGATGGTGAATTTTTGGGCATTATTTTTCAGTCAATGACACAGACGCAAAATAATAAACATTAAACAGTAGATGCAACTGAATTTTTTATTTGTCTATAATAATAATAATAGTAATAATAAGATAACAATGTAATTATTATGCTGTTATCTTCTATCAGGCGAAAGAAGAGGTCTCGTTCCAGATCAAACAGTAGAGAGAGAAGTCGGAGATCACGCAGTCGAGAAAGAAATAAGGAACGCAAGAGATCTCGCAGTAGAAGTGTTGAAAAGGGAAAAGACAAAACTAGCAAGAGACCAAGAGAAAAAGAAAAAGAAAAGGAGAGAAAGAGAAAAAGATCAGCAAGTGGCTCCCCGGCAAGTAGAGCATCAACGAGCAGAAGTCGTAGTCGAAGCCCTGCTCCCAGAAAAAAGGAGAAAGACAGTCAACGAAAGCGAAAATCTCGCAGCAGAAGCCATGAAAAGAGAAAGAAGGAAAGGCCTCGTAGTAGGGAGAGAGAAAGAGATAAGGAAAGAGATAGAAAGAGACGCTCAAGAAGTCGCAATCGTTCAACTTCTTCTGGTTCACGATCAAAGAGTAGAAGTCCGGACCAAAAAAAGTCTAAGTCAAGGTACAGTACTATTCAAAAGTAAGTCGAAAGTCTGTTATGAGTCTCAACTTGACTTGAATTTGATTCTCAGTTCCTGTGCAAATCAAGAATTGAGAACAAGTTTTCGAGGACTGAGTTGAGAATCAAGTCTCGCGAGACAGGAAACAATAAATTCATCAACGACTGATTTCTGGATTTCTTTTCACATTGACAAGTGATACATCATAACACAAAACGTAACATTCGTGTCTTACTCAGGAATGGAATGTTCTTGCTTGTTATCATTGAATTTCTTTGATTTAGTCTTTTTCTTTTCCATGACAGTCGAGACAAAAGAAAACGAGATGATAAGGACAGCTCGGATAGAAGCAAGGACACCAAAAAATCCACAGAGGTAAATGAATTTTTGCACTATTTTCTTTGGTGTTTTATCCAAAGTGTGATATGTAGGCCATATTTGACCTTAACAATCTTGGGCCATTCAGTTTTTGAATTCAATGGCCAATAAACATCACCTGGTACAAAGCCTGACCCCACATCACTTCCAGATTATTGGATAGTGGATATTCCAGATTATTGGATAGTGTTTTTTCTGCACTCTGATTGGCTACTCAAAGTTGGGATATTCAGTGTTATTCACTGATTCACCTCCAGCTCTTCTGAGCAAGGGATGCCAAACTGGTGTAAGTTATGAGCAAAATGGTTTCCCGGTTTGCTGCCGTAACAAACAAAGAAATTTTAATCGCAAAAAATCAAACGTGCTGTTCCCGAAATATACAAAGAAGGTGATGAAATTAGGTTTGGAAGCTTTAAGAGGTAGATCTTTGTCTGTTTGACTTGAATTTATCAGTGAAACCGGTGAAAAAGTTTTTTGTTTACGAATGCAAATTAAGTCTTGCATTAATTTACGGAATGGTTTCAATTACAAAAAGAATTCATAGCTCCTTTTGAAGAAATTTCCCGACAACAGCTAGACAAATGCCTTTAAAAGTTTCATCTGTCAGCAAGAAAACACGACGGCTGTTCAGTCATTTGCTCGAGCCAAATTATAATCGTTGGCAGTAGTAAATGAGTTCAAAACCATTTTTGTGCTCAATTATCTCTTATACTAAAACAATAATTTTCACCTCAGTGTTGGTGGCTAGTGGTGGGTAAATATCCACCGCTGGCCACCTCTTATCGGTTAACCCTTCAAACCCTGAGAGTGATCAGTATGAAATTTCTCCTTGAAATATCAATGCTTTATAAAACAGAGTGGGTATGAGACTTGAGAGCATGATCACAGAAGATGAATCTATTTAACCCATTCGCCCCTGAACCGCCCGTAACCGCCCGTGTGGATCCAGGTACTTTCTATCCTTTGTGACGTCATCAGTTTTAACGGTCAAGGACAACTTTCTTCGCTAACTTGTGCAGAGTGAAGAAATCTTTCAAATCATACCAGAATGAGCACAATTCAGTCAAGGACACCGGAGAAACAAGCAAAACCCGTTTTGACCTGAAAATTCCATGAAAATCTTGCTCCATTACCCAACCTTTCCTTTAAAAATCCTAATCCTGTCAGCAAGAAAAAACTCTTGCCACCAAAATGTTCAGTCTAAATGCCCAGCAAAAAAAAAAAATGAGGCAAGAAAAGTAAAAAATAAGAGTTCAAAACCATTTTTGTGTAAAATTAGACTGCTTATTTTAAAACCAAAAACTTTTCAAATTTTGCTTTGTTGGTGGCTAGTGGTGGATATTTTGCATCTGGATCAGAAGGCCTTAAAGTTAACCTGTAAAACCCTTTGTGGTCAGTATTAAATTTCTCTTTAAATATCAATGCAAAGACCATAAAACAGACTAGGTATGAAACTTTTTTGCATGATCTCCAAGATGAATCTATTTAATACTTCAACAAATTCTCCGTTTTTCCTCTACTGAAAGCATATTGGGGACAACAAAAAGGGGGTTTAAAGGGTTAACTTGCATGAACTTTTTCTCACCTTGTACATGTATTTCACTTGTTTCTTGCCATATAAGTAGTAAAATGCTCAAAATACATCCTCTTTCATTTTTTAATTGCTTCCTTTTCAATAATAGCCTATTGACAAGTGGTCCTTATTAAATTGGCAACAGCCTAATTTTGACTGGTCTTGAACTAGTGGATTACTTCTAACTGCTTATGATTGAGCACTGGTATTGTACAGTGTAGTTGTGATTGTTTATGATGCATCTTGGTAACAGCTGTCTAAAAAATAATTTTTTCCAGTCAAAGAAAGATACCACAAGCTCAAGTGTAGAGGAAAAAAGCGCTGAAGATGACAAGGTACCCATACAATCATAATAAAAACCCAAATCAGTTGGGCAAAATTTCCCTAAATGAGAAATCCCAACTGTCGGCTGTCAGCACATGCATTTTGTTAGGTATACATGTATTTGGTGACAGGGAATCCTCAGTTAGAAACTTGAGGCTATAGGGTCTGGGCTATAATACCCAAATTGGACTAAATTGATATAATACACACCAAGGAAAGATAAACAATGTTAAAAATGTTCTGTTAATGTGTTATTATATGCACATGAGGTTTTTTTTTCAAGTTGTGCAAATACAGTAGTTGGTTGCCTAATGCCCCCAGGCCCATTTCTTGAATGTTCTGTTAGCCTTACAAATAATGTACAGGCCTAAGATTGGTTTTAAAATCAAAATTTTTTAATCATGGCTATGCTGGCTCTAACTCCCTTAACCAGTTTATTTTGTTTTGTTTGCTAATTATTATTCCGATACATTATTTTTAGAACTATTTACAATGTCAATTCAAATGCCATGGCTGTTATTAAGAGGCGGGGGCTGGGGATTTCCCCAGGGTACTAAGAACGTGGCCCTTGGCTACTTTCATGGGAAAATAGAGGAAAAATAGAACCAAAAGAAATCCCCAACTGTTTCATTCCGTGCCTACTTGTATTTATTTACCTGGCAACTTGAAGTCTTGATGATAGCCCTAAAATGCATCAAACATGAAACAGCTTTCTGGTGCTGTTGCAGTTAAATTACAGGCACTTTCAAGAAACAGAGCCCTGGGCACTGTTAAATCTAGAATATTGTAGCCCTCAGCTGAACCCTGTGTGTGTGTCTAACAAAGTCATAACTTATTATTCATTTTTGGACTGCATTAGTTCAATGTTGTGATACTGATTGTATGTTAGGATGCAGAGCAGAAAAGACTTGATGAGGAGATGCAGAAGAGAAGAGAAAGGTACCATTGTTATTTTAAAAAGAATACCTTCTACCTCTTCAAGAGTGTAAGCTCATGTGGTGTAGTGAGCTAGCTCTATCCCTGTCATGTAAGCAAACACAGGTTTGATTTACTGCTAAATCAAACAACATGTCAACATGTAGTTTTTTTTTTCCTGCTTTTTTCCTCTTCACTCTATCCCTCTTTACTCCTACTGTTGGCCCTTTTCCTTGACCTTGCAAGGTTTGGTTAGAAATTTCTTGTATTTTTTTTTTTGATGAGGACAGGACAGGTGCCAGTGATATCGATGCCAAAGCCAGACCCTTCCCAGCACTCCGTGCTATATTTTTTTGGCTGCCATGTTGAGTACACTATAGAACAAAAATTTTAATTTTGGTGACTAAAATTGTCGCAAAGTTGTTAATATGTTTTCATTTTTAGAGTTTATGGTCTTTATGTAATGGTGAAAGAAACATTTGCATGAAAATATATATTATTTAAACTCCATTTTCTTCCATCTTTTTTCCCCTGGATCTGATTATTAAGTCTTAAGATGTAACATGCACCTCCAAATTGCTAGTTGGGCAGCCATTTTTATTACTTCAAACATTTTGCGTAATATTGCTCAAAATGTCCTTTTTTGTGTCAACTTACATTTGGCCATCGCATTTATAAATAGAGTGGGCATTTCTTTTACATGTAACAAACTGTTGTTTTTGATGTTCTATGATACTTACCAGTACATTTTGTTCATGCCAATGAAATTATCAGGATAGAGGCATGGAGAGCCCAGAGAAAGAAAGAACAAGAAGACAAAGAACAAACTGAAGCTGCAAGCGAAGAACAGCAAAAGAAGAAAAAAGCGTGGAGTTTGGAGGATGACGATGATGATGATGAGGAGGAGGAAGAAGAGGAAGAAGTGCAAGTTAAGGAAGAGGAACAGGTCTGATTAATCTTAAATCGAATTTTGCATATCATTCTGTAATTCTACTTACAAAAGCATTGCTTTGATTTGGGACCTTTCATAAGCTGAGTTGCCTTGTAGTTATTTATTTATTGTTAGGTAATTTCTTGGTTTGTGTTCTTGCTTGGCTGCTTCTTATTTGTATGTTGGATTATTTTAATTTGTTGGCAGACCGATCCTTTATTTCAGGATGTCCATCCTACACCTGTATTAAAATTTATTTATCATTGTCATTTATATTAAAGGTAAATGAAAAATTACATGTATTTCTTTATTACCAATACAGGAGGCTGAGGATGAACCAAAAACTAAAAAAATAAACAGTAAGTGGTGAAACTTTTCAACTGTTAGGCCATCCCCCCTTTTCTTCTCCGTTTAGCGTCATGCGAGCAACCCAAATTTTTGGCATTTTCAAAAAAAAAAGAACCAAACGATGTAGGTAAACCTAATCTGATATATGAGCATTGTAACAGCATTTCCAGGTGTAAAGTTTTGGTGGTGTATCCTTTTGCAGTCGATGTCATAGTAAAAACTTTTACTATGACATCATCGACCACCCTATTTTCTGCCATAACGAGTTTGTGTCAATTTGGTGACCATATCTTGTTGTTTCCAGGCTCCAAGACAATGATGTTTGCCGTTTTCATTGCCCTTTTCTTATGTTCACTTAAGAGTTAAATAGTGCTGTCAACAACAACAACAACTATCATATTACACTGTATGACAAAAAACCCCATTGAAGTCATTAATTTTGATGATGTCTTTTATCTAAAAGTATCCTAAAATTATTATGGTAGTTAAGTTCACGCCTTTATATAATTATTTTTATTTATTCTAATCTCTAATGTCTTAATTCTAATAATCTCTTGTGATGAATGTGTTGCAGATAAAAAAGGCCAGACTAGTGTTTCTAATGGTAAAGTAAAGGAGGAACCGGTAAGTCTTAATTTGCAACACCAAACATTTTTTCCCGCTCCACAGTTTCGACACTAAGCAGGGCTGCAAATAATTCATAATTGTTTTTCTTAAAAAGGCATAAGTCCCTGCACGTCGTCATTTTGATTGAACAACAAAAAAACGTGGTCAGACATTGTTACAGTTGTACAATAATGTTAAACTTTTTCATTAGAGTGGAACCCAGTTAAGACAGCCACCAAAGGGACATATTTTTAACATTTTTAAAACAGTATTTTTAGAAGGGACCTGGTTTGTTTCTTTGTTTGTTGGTTTTCTTCACTGCGCAGTTCTTATATATGATTTTCATATATTCATAACTTCATCATCATCCTTTCACGGGTTTATAACGAACCAATAAATTAAACGACCTGCTCCCAGTTGGCTTGTTAGCTCAATTGGTAGAGCACTGCACCGGTATCACAGAGGTCAGGGGTTTGAATCCTGTACAAGCCTGAATTTTTTTCAGGCTTTCTTTTTGCAACTGTAAATTGTGTCTATAACTTTGATCATCTTCTTTCAGATAATTCTTCACCCCACAGTTCTCATATATGATTATTTATATTTTCATAATTTGGTTTTTTAATATTTGAAAAAATATATTATATATGTGGAATCTGTTTACTTTTCCTGCTCACTGTAGGATGTAAAAGGAATTTTTAAATGTCATTTTTGGCCGACGCACCACTGGCTATGAAATTATGTCAGATCAGCCAGGACCTGTATGTTTTTTATAAGACCCTTGTGATCAAGTTTTTAAAAGGGACTCACACTTGGGTAATGCATCTTTGTTGAGACTGATGATGTTGACAAATTTGTTTAGCAGGAAGATGATGATGTTGATCCATTAGATGCCTTTATGGCTGATGTTAACAAAGAGGTGAATATTTCATAATAATATGGTAGTCTATTAATACCTGCACTACTGTATTCCTCCCTCGTCAAAATATGTCTTCTCTTTGGTTTCTCTTAAAAAAAACTGAGGAAATTTACAGGCTGTGGTACCAAGCTTTCCTAACTTTGTAGCTTTTTTTTTCTTTGCAGGTTTAACTTGTAAAATAACTTGTAAAACTAGTTGTAAAACCAAATTCATGACTTGTAAAACCAGTTTAGGAATTTTCATTGTACATGCAAACTTTTTAGTATACATTTCCTAGCATCATTTTATATATGTTGCAGGTAAAATCCGTATTTAGGTATAGCCAAAACTTGTTTTTTTCTCCTGTCAATAATAAGGGCTAGGAAACAGAGAAAACTGTGTATCAAACTTGGTTGAATAGTGGGTTAACCTGAGAACAGATTTTACTTATAGCTACTCGATAAACAGGCTGTATATCTAAACTGTAGTTCTAGGTTGTGTATCCCGCTACCAGCAAGTCTGGACTGAAGTTTCATGCATGTTACAAAATTACTATTTTTATTGCTGTAATATATAACATTAATTCAAACTGGAAATAAATATTTAAATAAATTTGGATTGAAATCAAGGCCATTTTTTGTTCTTCAACAGGTGAAGAAAATCAATGCTGTAGATCAGAAGAAAGTTGGTAAAGCTGGGAAGACAACTGTGATAACCCATGTAGTCACCAAGAAGAAGAAGAGGGTAGGTCAATTAACAGAGTAAGACAAAAATTTTCCTATCCACTTGTGCTTTGGACAAGCACTATATTAAATTTGGTTGACCGAAACCCAAGAGTTCTTGTCCAAAAAGTTTACCTTGAAACTGAAAACTAAAAAACAATCAGGCATTTAATGTTTACATTATTACCCTTGTAAATTGTTTTTGACTTAAACCTAAAATGGAGCTCGTAAAAACTAGTGAAATGGCTGCGGAATGGTAAAGTTAAAAGGAATATTTAACCTTAATTTGTCAAGTATGAGGTTCGCTTTTCTGACTTTTGAGATGAATTTCAGTTCAACTGTAGTTTGAAAATTTTCAACTGTTTCTTTATTTTTTCTGGTTAAAAAATGTGGTTGTCCCACAGATAAGTCATGTCAAAGGTTTACATTGCGGAACTAAATTTCTACCTGTCCCAGACAAAAAAGACACTCAAGACATTTTTATTTCAGAAAGCTTTTTTGTAACTTTATGTGCTTTTTAATCTCGTTTTTAGTAGGTTTTACGCAGTTTTTTAACGATTTAAGTAGTCTACGTAATTTTTATAGTTTCAGTGTTGACATTGTTTGAACTCTTTTTGATAGGTTCATGCACTTTGTATATTTTATGCAGTCTGAGTAACTTTTTTTTGTTGAAATATTTTTATTTTTAAGTGCTGATGAAAATAGCAGGGCTTCTGATATTTCGCGGAAAAAAAAGCAAAATTTCGCGGGATTTTCAGGGGCAAATTCGCGGAAAAATCGGCCGATTTCGCGGGAAAAAAGTCAAAATTCGCGGAACAATCGGCCGATTTCAGGCGATTTTCGCGGGAGAAAAGTCAAAATTCGCAGGAAAATCGGCCCATTTCGAGGGACTTTAGCAGAAAAGAGTCAATTTTTGAGGGATTTTCAGGGGCAAATAATTTCCTAAGAATTTCTTAGGAAAATCGGCCGATTTCACGAGAAATTTCGGGGGGAAACTTCGCCAAGAAACAATAAGTAAAAAACAGCCGATTTCGCTGGGTTTTTTTGGCAAATTTCGCTAAAATCGATCAATTTTGCGTCGATATGACCAGCGTTGGTGAACTTTTTTTTTAACACGGATAATCATTTGCTCTTTCAACAACAGTTCGCTCGAGAAATAAGCGCATGTTAAAGCCATCAACATTATGGTTACTGCCCAGTTTTTCGCAACGTTCATCTAAAAACGCCTGGTAGTTTTGGGACGTTGTTTACTCGTTTCAGTGATGAAGTCTCAAGCTAAATTTGGACGTTTGGGGTGAATAAAACCGGTCTAATAGCCAAGATAAGTATTAAATATGTTTTGCCGACATGTATTTGGAAATATTTCTGGCGGATTTCGCGGTATTTCGCGTTTTCTGGGGAATTTCGCGGGATTTCGCGGAAATACCTGAATTTCGCGGGTCCGCGACCGCGCGAAATATCAGAAGCCCTGATAATAGCAATATTGATATCGGCACTATATAAGTTTTATTATTATTATTATTATTACAATAAAAAAAAAAAGTTTTGGCACACCCTGATTAAGATGTTTGTGATGGAGATTAGCTTTAGTTTATGACTTTGAAAGGGCATTCTGTTGATTGTACAACATTCCTGGGGGAAAATCATCAGAAATGAATATATATGTAATTAACTCCTCAAGTCCCAAAAGTTTTCAGCATCAATTTCTCATAACAATACATAATCAACAGAAAAAAAACTTTGAGATGTAATATAATGATCACCTAAGGGAAAATGCTTCCTTTTTACGTTTCTGAACAAGTTTGGGAAAATCTGTCTACACCACTGAAAGAGCGTCTTTAAATTAGTAAAATTGCCAAGTTTGAGAGTGATTTGTGAAAAACTTACGAAGGTATAGTTCCTCAAAGTCGCGACATTTCACAGACGTTTGTATGGTGGGCGGCACAAACTTGCCTTCCCCCCCGCCACCATGCAAATGTCTGTAAATTTTGGCAACTTTGCGGAGCGATATTTTCGGTTGTCTAAGATGTTTCACTGTCAAACATGACCATGAACTGAAGAATAATATCAATTTGATGAACTGTTTGGTTGTTTAGGATCCCACCAAAGGTGAGCTGATGGAAAATGATCAGGATGCTATGGAGGTCAGTACATAAAAGATCTTTGTGTTATAGAAAAGTGTGCTGCGATATCTTGATGCTGTTACAGTGATAGAAAAATAAGCTATTTGTGTTAAGTTCCCCTGCCCCACCCTAGGTCTGGACATATTGAGATTAATGCTATGGTTGTGCTTTGTAGCCGAGTTCTTAGGCAGATTTGCAAAAACATTGTGATCACAGTGATGCATGAAGATCTAAAACCTGAACTGACAAATGGCAGAGCATTCAGTCCTTCCTATGTACTTTTGTGTTTTCTCTGACATTGCGTTGCATTCATATGTCTTTTCCCTCAATTGTTGAGTAATTAGACCTGTCGAGGTAGAACTTACTGATCCTCTCTTGGGCAGATGTTTTTATCTGACAGTTTAACCTGTTCTTGAATTTTGGAACACAGCTTGAAATGTTTAAAAGTTATTTTGCATTCTGTAGTATTCATCTGAGGAAGAAGTAGAAGAGGAGACTATAGAATCAACTTATGCAAACTTCAAAACCAAGAAGAAGAAGGTAGGAAAATGAAAGCGTCTTATGTTATAAAGCATTACAGGTTTGCGGCATTGTACAGAGCTGTCAATAAGAGATGGGAGCTTAAGCTTTCCCCTGGCTACCACGAGCTTGGCCCCTGGCTACTTTCATAGAAAACAAAAGGAAGAAAGAACCATCTTTTCTTCAATAAACGTAAACAGCTGTAGCCCATAGTTCGAGGAGGCTTATCCTCTCATACTTATCTTATATCATTTGTAATTTCTGTTGTGGCAAGGATAGAAAACAAAACAAAACAAACAAAGAGAAGTTCCAAGCTGCTTAATTCCCCACCTGCTGATTGCAAATATCCAGCAACAGTAACAGCCCTGTTTGTATGCCCATCATCTAATCTAATGTTTCTAGCTTTATATCCTCTTCAGTAAAGGATTGTGTTTCCCTTTGCTCCAAACGATCCACCATCTTTCACTAAGAAGTTTGAAAAGAGTTTTATGGGTCCTACTTTTGGTTCCTAGAGTGGTAGCTGTAGCACTAGGAATGAAATTATTTTCCATTTGCTTTCACATCCAATTGCCCCCACCCCCACCCGAAAAAGGCGTCACTGACCATGTTTGTCACAGGTACAGGAAAAAGGGTTTTAAATATTTTTTTTTTCATGACGTTAGGATCTCCAAGCAGTGAACCACAACAAAGTGTACTACTCAAGCTTTAGGAAGAATTTTTATGTGGAGGTTCCTGAACTTGCAAAAATGACTCCTGAAGGTAAGAATTGGTTCCTCAGTGCACAGCTCATTTTAAAATAAATGACGTTACTTTATTTATCCTCGGTAGTATTCACGGCTAAAAAAAGCTAGTGGGGCGAGCAAAATTGGTAATGACATGACAGTGACACAGCTAGCCCATTTAACTTCAAGAATATTAAAGTGACATTTTCATTTCGTTACCCAGAGGACAGCCAACTCGGAGATGTTATATAACCTGTCTCTTAACTTTTGGATTTGCAGAGGTGGACGAATACCGTAAGAAACTTGAGAACATTCGAGTTCGTGGAAAAGACTGTCCAAAACCTGTGAAAACCTGGGCACAGACTGGAGTTAGCTTAAAAATCCTTGAGGTCCTTAAAAAGTAAGTAAATTGCATTGAGCCAGCTTGCTATTTTAAATAATAGCATTATTATCAACGCACTTTTTGTGCTTATCCTGTTAGATACACAGTGGTTCATCTCTCACACTATTTTTCTTCAACTGGTTTCTTATAAACTAAATTCCTAAAGATCAACTGACATGAGAATTTTTTCTTTTTACTTTAAGTTTTTATTTAGGTCCTCCACTTGCTGTTGCATATTGCACTGATACTGAAGACAAAACAAAAAGTTAAACCCAGCGTAATGCACTATTGTACCCAATTTTGACACAATGGGAGTTGTTTGTCCACAAAATGTTAGAGACAGATTATTCCTAACTTTCTCTTCAGTCAATAAATGTTATTTTAACTTTTAATTTTGTACCGTTGTCTATATCCTTTGGAGCTAACATTCAAAACGTTTCTAGAATTAATTCTACACGGTGTCATGTCTTTCAATTCTTTAATGAATGAAAGTTGAGATTTTTTGGGAGGTTAATGGACCTACTTCACTCTTTTAATAAAGGAACCAATACGAGAAACCAACACCGATTCAGGGTCAGGCCATTCCAGCCATCATGAGTGGAAGAGATATGATAGGTAAGATAAGTTCATTTCTTACGGCCGTGTCGTCCTTACTGTTTGAGAAGATGTCTCCTAAGAGCGGGTTTTTAATTGAGCATCGCCAATTCCCCCCAGTTAGAAAGGAGAATAGCCTGCGAACACAGACATATTTCCGCTCGTCGCTTCTCTCCACCCGAAAAATGACGACCGGCTAAGAGAGGGGGACTGGAGCCGAAATGCGTCCCGCAATTGTTTCTGGGATTGTCACTGGTAACGTGTCGGTAGGTATTGGCCAATTCTTTTTCTCCGTCCTTAGCAACAGTCCCAGAAGTCTTTGTAAAAGTTAACTCGGCCCAGTCGCGTTCTCGGTGTTAAGTGGTGAATTGAGTTTCAAACTAAACAAAAGAAAATACTTCAGCCATTCACATTTTTTTTAGCAATTACACTTAGCCAACACTAAGCGCGAAAAACTGAATCTGCAGGCAGTTAACAATGGTGTTTGTTTCTCTCCATTTTGGCTGATGTGTCGCTTGCTTTTTCCGTCAGTCATACCGTATAGCAATGCCGGTAACTAAAAGCAAGTCTCTGTAATAAACCGATCAAAACTTGAAGCAGTCACATGTAACCGACACTAAGCGCGTGAAGGGTAAACACGTGCAGGCAAGACTGACTCCTGATTGGCTGAGGTGTCACTTTTTCTTCTGTCAGTCATATTGTCTAGCAGTTCCAGGGGAAAGGAAAGTCTCTCTATCTAATAAACCAATCAAAACTTGAGGCAGTCACATAAAACCGGCACCACGTTCGTAAAAACTCGTGAAGGCAAGTCAGGATTCCTGATTGGCTAAAAAAAGTGGCATGATTTTTGTTTGCTAATCGTATCGTAAAGCAGTGTACGATGAAAGGCAAGTCACGCTAATAAACCAATCACAGCTAATCGCGTCTTTGGAAAGCTTTGGAAGCTAGTCCATGCCCTGCGCAAGTTGTACGTTAACGGTATGATTAGTGACGTGAAAGAAATACCTTTTTCATGACTGTGGGTTAAAACACAAACTTTGCACACGGATATTGAAACCATGACACATAATATATCAGTGTATATCAAGAGCTCAACCCCGTTAATGTCTCTCATTTCACGTATATTTCGCGTTGATATTCTACTATTTTGTGGAAGGAAGGTAGAACTCTTTTTCCCATTTTTCACCATTTCTCCAGGAATTGCCAAGACTGGAAGTGGAAAGACATTAGCATTTCTTCTTCCCATGTACCGACATGTTCTGGACCAACCTGAGCTTGACAGAGAAGATGGACCAATAGGTAGTTAACCCTTATGTAATCTTGAATCTCAGGCCTTTATCAAACACCGTGCTTACGTTGCACTGGACTAGATTCATCTTAATAAGCATGAATTTTAGCTCAGCGACATCGCTTGAGTCGACTTCTAAATCAACGTAAATAGAGAGGAGAATTCGTTACGTCACGTTGCCATGGTAGCAAAATGTTTGGATAACAACAAACCGAAAACGTCACATGAAAAGCAAATTTGCACAGCTTCAACCTTCATCGATCTTATTCAATGTCATTTAATTTGGCAAACGTTGGCGAAATTTCCTCGGGTTGAATTCGAAAGGACCGTATATAAGTTTATAAGTATTAGAAGAGAAAAAAGACAACTTTTGTGTTGTGTTCACCTACTCCATAAAGCAAGCGTGTGAAATTAGAAAGTTTCATGTCGCAGGGGTGCAACGACGGCAAAGACGGCAAAGAAATGTACAAAATAGCGTGATGCACGTGTAAATTTGGTGTTTTGTCAATAAAGACCTATTATCTTTTTTGCCGTTCTCCTTCCATCGCCGTCGCCGCTGGTTTTGTTGTCATCCAGAAATAGTGCTACCATGGTGACGTGACGTCATACTTCTTCTCTCTATACCAAGTAATTAAGATCGACAAACGCGCTGGGGTAATGCTTAATGAGTTAGTTTGCAGAGACTTGGTTCAAGTACGGCCCTTGACTCGTGCCGAGGTCTATACTTCAAGATTTGTGATAATTTCGTCTTGGATCTTACCGTCCAGCTCGACTAAAGTACAGTACGGCGTTGGGCGTTTTAGTCAACTGCCGAGCTGAAGCTTAATTCTTTCTTGTTTGGTACAATGATGGCACGGCGTTTGTACCGGGCCTTAGCTTTTTCTCAGCGGTTTCTTTATTTTTATTTTTTCGGAGGGTGGGGTGGATGGGGAGGGGGATTTGTAGGGTTCAAGTTGCCGGGTAAATACAACAAGTAGGCGGGGAACAAAACAGCTAGGGATTTCTTTTGGTTCTATTTTTATTTTATTTTCCCATGGAAGTAGCCGGGGGGCACGTTCATAGTAGCCGGGAGAAATCCCCGGCCCCCGCCTCTTAATGACAACCCTGGATTTATGTATGTGATATCCTGCTACTGAGTATTGCTTTTCTGTGACACTGAAACTTTTACGTCTGTGAAACAAGCTTTAGTACGATTATTCAGATCATTTCTGACATCAGGTAAACAATACAGTTCTGCATATGATGTCAAGTCCCTGAATGAATCCGTTTTGAACACACTTTCCTGTAGTGCTTTTTATTAACCTAGTAAGTTAAACGAGGCCAGGAGATTTAGCAGAAACGTTTTTATAATTTTGTCGGTATTGTAATCGCAAGACTGATAATCAGGCTTGTGACTTGTGACTGTGTTTTATTTTACTTACAGCTATCATAATGACACCAACTCGGGAACTAGCTCTTCAAATTTATCGTGAATGTAAGAAGTTCTGTAAGCCGCTCAATCTGCGAGTGGTCTGCGTGTATGGTGGCACTGGTATCAGTGAACAGGTCAGTCCACCCCAAGCCCCTTACCCTACCCCCCACTGATGTTTTCTCATCACTTACCCCAGTAACATTTGACCTACTCATCCATCCCCAGCCATAAGTAGGATTTACGATTCCCTCTCTTTGTGCATGCACTGTACTCGAAGTAGAATTTTTCCTACCCACACACAGTACGATTTGCCTTTCCCAGCCACGATTTGCTCAATTGGTGAATAACAATTTTGGATGTTTCTTGGTGTTTCTGGACTCGGGAGAGCGGCGGAAATCAAGCTCGATTTGGAACAGCTGAGCTGAAATCGTTTCTCATTTTTCTTCCCATCCTCGCGATGAACATTTCCTCTTTTTTAACTTCTTGTATGTTTACTGGATAATGATTTGCCAAGGGCTGTTACCGTTCTCCAGTCGCAGCAAATCTATTTAATTTGCTCCATGTTGTTGTTGTGTAGTCAATTACCAGTTACGTTTCTGTTCAGATTGCAGAACTAAAGCGTGGAGCAGAAATCATCGTCTGTACCCCTGGAAGAATGATAGACATGTTGACAGCCAATAACGGTAGGCTAAACATGAAGCTAATTCGCCACTTTAGAAAATACCATAATTATCTTTTTGTCCCCCCCCCCTCAAAAAAAAAAATTGCATTGTAAAGATTTTTGCGGGGGTGTGTGTGTGGGGGGGGGGACAAAAAGATAATTATAATATTTTCTAAAGTGGCGAATGGTAATGCTTTTTCATTTATGTAACCACCAATGAAATACCAGGTGAGCTGTCACGTGAAAATATTATATCTTCTACATGAAAAGGTCACCCTTTCTGTTGCTACATAATAAATTGCGCCTTTTGCAACGGAAAGAAATTTAGTGAAATGGTCTGGAATTTCGTTGGTGTTTATATGATTATTCTCATGTTCAAAAATATTTCCTTCGCTCGGAGATAAATTTCGTATCTTCGCGAGGCCAAAAAATATGCTCTGTTTATATACTTTTAGTTTGGAGTTTTCAAAAATAACCAATCTGTTAATGACAATAGAAATGATAAATAGAAAGTGCAGCCTTATGGCGTTCCTTGTTTCAATCTTGCCTTACTTGCTTTTGTTTTTACTGTAATATTTTAAAGGCCGAGTAACAAACTGCCGTCGCTGTACTTACCTGGTGCTGGATGAAGCGGACAGAATGTTTGATATGGGATTTGAACCTCAGGTAGGTCAAGTTTACCATTATTCTGACTACATAGTTAACATTTGATTGGTAATACTAAACCTGAAATCTGCTGATCGGGCTTAACTTTGATTTTCAAGCTGCGTTAACGCCGTTTCCTTTCTAATATTGTTCCATTGTGAAGAATACGCATGTCTTACAAAATGAGTTCAAGGTTTGCATGTAACTCAAGATTCTGTAACATACAGTGCGGATCGAGAAAAACGTTGTCGATCAAATTTTAGTTGAATCTCTGGGTAATTTGAGGCTAAGTCCCATGATTGCATTGAAGCTTTAAACGCAACCAAACGATATTTGTCCGTTTACGAATGTTCAAATGTGGAGGACGATTAACAAGTTGTTTACATTTATTCTTGTTTATTTGTGGACGGAAGCCGTAAGCGCAGACTCGTCCCCAGTCTCCTCTGTTAAACCTCTCCCTAGTGCCGGAGCGCCAGGTTTGATGGGAAAGAGAAAGGTGAGGTTCTTCTCCCTACCCATCATCCTCTGCTCCCGCCGTACGCGTTATGAGGACGACCTGGGGACGAGTCAGCCCAAAGCTCATACGTTTATGTGCGCTGACAATTTTTAAAGGACTCGTGCGGACATCGGCAGGAAATCGGTATCAAAAAACATAAGCTGAAGCAGGCTGTGCTTTAGAATGCGGCTCACCACTGAAATTGGTCAATCACACAGAGCGCATACTACATGTGATAGAGAGGATTAGAAAACGAGAAATAAAAAACCAAGAAGTAATTGCTTCTGTGCACTACAAAGTTTATAACAACTACCAAAATCGTAGACATGAGAATGCTGCACCAAATTTCCCGAACACAATGATTAAAAAGTGTGAAGAAATCAATTTTGAATGAAATGACCTTGAACAGGAATTCGCCCAACCCCATCCTTAAAGTTACCTTGCATATTATATATTAGGAGCTTGGTGTTTGCATCTGGGCAGTTGTGGTTTTTTCTGCTTTGTAAGAGTAGACAGTTATTACCATTGGCCTTGAATTCAGCGTAGTTTGCTCCGCGGGCTGAGTTGTGACTGAGGGCGGTAACAAAGTGGTAAGTGGATAGAGCTCAGTTCTTGTCCAGGTCAAGTGAAAGGTGTCATTTAAGGCCAAATTAATTCCACATTGTTACTTTTTCTTACTTATTGAACCCCATACTGAGTCTGAAGTAACCCTTGGGGGAGTGGGGCGGTCTCTCCTCTGCGCCCCCACGGGTAGGGGGCGGAGACAGCTGACATGTCAGACTACTCTTGGGGTTGTACGACTTTACAGCAGGGTACACGTTACGGAGTTGTTGGTTTTAAACGAACCTTATGAAATTCGGTTGAGAACAGCCAACACGCTTGTGGTCACCTCAGTCAAAGAGATTTGTGGTGTCGAGGTTGCTTTCACTCTCAAAAACACGTTTGTGACTTTATGTTATTTATAGCTTTGCCAGCCGTTGGTAAGGCAACTGCAACCCCTTAAAGCTAGTTACTGAGCTCGATCGAGCTCCCGTGACAGTCCCCTCCCCTTGAGAGGTAAACCACACCACCGGGGTCCACGCTCCTACTGTTTTCGAATAGGATTGTGGGTACATTTACGCCCCGTTCGTATTGATAAGGTTGGATAAAGTTTTTTAAAGACCCTGGTTGATGGTCCCGCCTCGGCCCCCGGACCGTCGACCCTTACCCAGCGCTAGTTCAGTTAACTTAGGACTTCACGGGGACTCCATTCTCTCTCAATACGTTTGAGTAGGCTTTATTGTGGAAGAGGGCTTTAGATTCTAAGACGAGTATGACTATGAGTACGAGATTTTCTCAATACAAAGTAGTAAACGCGTGAACCAGCGTGATTTTGGCGGGAAAACGTGATGGCCGTCGTCATTCTACTACGAGTTTTAGCGGGAATATCGTAGTGGCGGGAACAAGTTATCAAATGTTGGGAGTTTTACCATTATGCGATCGGGAGAGGGCTTAACCTCTTCCAGTAAAGGTGTCAGTGGTAATTTTTCTGGTGAAAACATACAATGAAGCTTTCGGGATGTCTGTTTTTTGACAATACGTGAAAAAACTTTAAATTAAATCTCGTACTCGTAGTAGTTCTCGTCCTCGAATCTAAAGGTCTCTGTTATCTTGTAAACCTGAAGTGAAGCCTGCAGTTCCCACCTTTGTGGTTTTCTCTCGTTATGAGGATGCCTTTCAGAATCTGATGTAATTTTTACATTCGTTTTTGCTTCAGGTAATGAGAATAATCGATTGTATCAGACCCGATAAACAGACTGTCATGTTCTCTGCTACATTCCCACGCCAGATGGAAGCTTTAGCTAGAAAGATCCTTGACAAACCTATTGAGGTAATGTGCTTGTTAAGGTACGGAAAAACGGGCAACATGCAACTTGTCTTGCAACATTGCTGCAAAATGTGTTGAATAGCGATGCTGCGCGTTTTGCCACCCACGTCAAACCTGTCCTGCAGGAATCAGGTTGTTAACAGGTTTGAACGTGGTCGGTAAAACGCGCAACATCGCTTTTCAGCTCGTTTTGCAGCAGTGTTGCAAAGATAAGTTGAGTGTTTTTGTTGCCCGTTTAACCGAAGCTTACACTGTATCTGTAGTGAAATTCTTTTAACGCAGTCGACATAGTCGTCTCAGAGTTATCCCATTTTCTCTATGGTCCGTTTTCTATCCCGTAATATGTGTCTTGATTCTGTTTATAGACTATCACAGTACAAACGTTACATTTAATAGAGAGCTTTAGATTCTAAAACGAGGACTAGATTTTCTCAATACTAACTGGTGTGCGTGCGTGAACCAGCGTCATTTTGGCGGGAAAAAATGATAGCCGTTGCCATTCTACTTACATTCACATTCACATATTTTACCTCGCGAAATCTATTATAGACATAATCGCAAGCTAAACTTAAACAGGTTTTAGCGAGAATGTCGTATTGACGGAAACCAGTTATCTAATGTTAGAGGAGAGAGGGCTTAAACTCCTTCAATAAAAATTACTGTGCTAACTTTTGTGGTGAAAAAAGGTTTAATGAAGCGTTCCAGGCTGTCGATTTTTTAAAGAATTTTTATTCGCGAAGAATCTTTAAGTTCAATCTCGTCCTTGGAGTCTTCCTCGTCCTCGAAACTATTGGTCTCTATTTACCAAAATAATTTTTCTTAGCGCTTACTGAAATGAAACAGCAGCGGCCCAAAAATTACCTGCAAATGGGTAAAATCTCGCGCACAATATTCTCTTGCGATGCTCTCTCGTATCAAAACCCCAAGCCTAAGAAAATAACTTTCTGGGTTAGTTAGGTTATTGATAGTCCTTCATCTATTTTTTCTTCATGAGTTGCTTTCTGTTTCTGTTTTTAGCCTGAAATTGTTTTAATAGTTGCCATACTCCCATTCAAGACTGATGTTATCGATGAACTTCAATGTACTTTTGATGTTGTGTTTCAGATACAAGTCGGTGGTCGAAGTATCGTCTGTTCAGATGTTACACAAAATGTGGTATGCATTTCATTTTTATGCGTTTTGCTCTTGTGTTCAAACTTAAGCGGTGAGGTATAGAATGTACGAGCTCCCAAGGCGTGTCCAAAGTCACATTCTTCCAGGCGAAGCGTAGCCACTGTCTGAGCTTGTCCAGTGTTTTTTGGGCCGGATCTTTGTATGTTGTCTCGTCTACGATAATCCAGATGGTCTCCAGGGGGTTCACATCACATGAGTTTGCCGGCCGATCCTCCTTTGGTATAAAGTTGGCAAATCCTTCTGACACTATGCTTGCATGAACCGCCTTTTCCTCTTCAAGGCTTTCCAACTTTTTTGGTAACTTATCCCCATACCGTTATGCTCGAAACTTTGATCGATAATGTGAAGTTGAAATTTTTTTACCTTTCTGTTTTGTGGAATTATTAAGCATACACTTACAGCTTTTTCGATAATATTTCTCAGACAGTTTGTGAAAAAACGGCCATGCAGTCCTTGGTTTGTCTTCTAACCATTTGTTCGGTCATCGTTCAGACTTCTTCAACAATTTGACAATTTTTTTTGACTGAATAGCCAGAAGACCATAAAAATAGATGCCTGAGCTCTTAGTAGCACAAACAGTGTAGGCCTTCATTTTCATGAAAGAGTAGAGAAAATGAAAGTAAACGATAAAAATACCAGAATAGAAAACCTACAAAATAGGCAGGAAAAGTATGGCGTACCTCGCGTACGTGTACAGTTGAGGCAAAAATTAAAAAAAAAATTATAATTTCTTCAAATTTTAGTTTGAAATTGCTTTTAACGGTTATTTAGATAAATTTCTTACCTGAATCAGTTTGCATTTGCCTAAAGAAGCATTAAATGCTTTGCGCAAAATACAATATACAATCGGAACGAACTTTTGAAACACCCTGTAGTTTTAAGTGAGTCCTCTTGATTGTGAAGGACATGTTAGCAATTTAGTTCAACATTCAGTTGGAAGCGAAAACGCAAATAAGAAGTCTGAGGATAAACCCACTTAGAGGTTGATATTAATTTCAAAATAAACATTATACTAAGCGGTAGTTATCTAACAGTTTTTGTACATTTTATTTTCCCAGGTTGTTATTGACGAGGATGACAAATTTTTGAAACTGCTTGAGTTGCTTGGTATTTACCAAGAAGAAGGTAAATACTGGACTCGGAGCTTTCTTAAGGCAGTTGTCCGCAAGCTTGAGTAAGATCTAAAACTCAGCTGCGACAGTTAAAGTAACGAACACTTGCAAATTGGGGAAGAATCAACAAGAAAGTGGAGGGTGGCAGAAGCTCCCACCCGCTTTTAATTGGTCCGTCCCTTGTATATAGAATACCATGCAAAAATTAGTGATCTCCAAGCGATGCCAATGTTGTTTTCAAATGCTCCCGACCCCCAAACCCATATGATGCGTTAAATGTGCTTCTGGCCCCCTGCCTTACCCACTTCTTTGTTTTTTTACTTTGTAACCCTTTGCAATTGGAACTGTATTGCCTTCTATCTCGAAAGAATCCGGCAACGTTCTGCTTTGTACAACGCAAAATCTTCCCCCCAAATATTGACGAAGGGCGCCAAAAGGAACAACCGATGCTAAGCGCGGGAAATTATTTAGTATGTTGCAGACATAGTTATTTAGTATGTTGCCTCTCTTACACCTGTACTAGTTGATCTTTCCGCCAATGAAACGTTGTATTTCTATGTGACGCGACTCTAACCCTATCAAAATAGGTAGCGTCTTGGTGTTCGTGGAAAAGCAAGAAAAAGCTGACATGTTGTTCAAAGACCTACTGAAACGATCCTATCCGTGCTTGTCTCTCCATGGAGGTAAGATTGTATATAATAACACACTTCATACTTTTACCAGTAGTGTTGGTCTTAACTTTCGAGACTTGTGAATGAATCGTAAAGTTTGGCCATTTACAGGAAACTTACTGAGCAGTACTTTCCTCGGTGCAAGGTGGTTTCAACTCTCGAGTCTGTGACCATTGAAATTAAAACTTCTGAGTACTTGTTTCCGTGCAACGTTTTATTATTTTACAGAAGGTAGTTGTTAATATCCGAAATGTTCGCCGCTCCCTCTCACGTTGTATATATTCCTTGCAGGTATGGATCAGTTTGATCGGGATAGCACAATAGCTGACTTCAAGAATGGCGTCACTAATTTAATGGTAAGAGAATCACGACAAACAGCTTTAGTGGTAAAGCGTCTGGATTAGAAATCAGGGCCGAGTTTTTCAAAGCTGGGTTAAGATAACCTAAGGTTAGTGCCAAATTTGAATTCAAATACGAAGGCTTAAAAAGTAAATTCAGTATAATCCTTTTTGTCAGCAAGTTGATGATGGGATGCTCTTAAAAATAACAGAAAAAAATTGTCCAAGAAAATGCTTTTGACCGAAAGAAAAAGAAACCCAGGTTAAATTTAACCTTGGGCTAAGCGCTAATCGACCTTCGAACAGCTGGGCTCAGAAAGTCATATGTTCGACTCTTATTGCACTGGCGTATCCTTACTTTCAGATGAGGGGGTGGGGTGGGGGCTGAGATAAGGGAGCGCGATCTTCCAAAAAAAATTTTTTTCGGCCCTTTGGGCCTCAGTGTGGTCTTAAAATAAAGGAAGGGAGCCCTTCCCTGGATACGCCACTGTACTGGGAGTGCTCGGATTTTTTCTACCGAACCTCTTGGGTCACTGACTGAAAGTCGTCTTTCTTAGCTTTTTTTGTTATGTTGAAGAGTTACGAAGCCTTGGGTCTTTTCTCTTTAAAGCTAACTGCAAACGGACTCAACAACTCCCAACATTGTTGGCCCAACAAAGCTGGGAGTTGTTGCGTTCGTTTGCACGTGGCTAAACATTTGACCGGTTTGAGACTTTGCGCAGCAACTCCCAACAACATACAACAGGGTGTACAAACGGACGCAACGTATAAAATCCCAACAATGTTGTGTCCGTTTGCACGGGGCTTAACATCAATAGGGAGCTTAAGCAGCGACGTTTTTGAGCGACGCACGTCAACCGGAAGTGAGGTATTTTCCCTCTTAACATACCTTGATGATATAAAATTTGTATTCCTTAGCTTCTTTACTGTTATAGAGGCGATTTGACTGAAAATTTGCGCGAAACCACCGTCAAAAAATGAAAAAAGGCCACTTCCGGTTGACGTGCGTCGCTCAAAAACGTTGTTGCTTAAGCTCCCTAATGAGCCTCGTAGGGAGACCTTAACCCTTTAAACCCTAACATCAAAATTCAAATTCTCATTTGTTATCCCTATACGTTTCCAATAGAAGTAGTGGGGAGAATTTGTTGAAGTATCAATTAGATTCATCTTGTTTGATCATGTCCTTAATTCTCATGACCACTCTGTTTTGTAAAGCACTGATATTACAAGGAGAAATTTGACGCTGATCACTCCTAGGGCTTAAAGGGTTAAAGAAACAGAGAACACGAAGGACGCACGCACCTGTGAAAAACGGAACACCAGAGATGTGCGCCCTTCATGAAAAACGAAAGAAGATTATGAACAGGTTAAAGTAACTCATATCTTTAGGTCTGTTCAGTCCAAAGCTGTGGGAAGCGTTGACAGCGTCTTATTTTATTCTTATTTTTTAGATTGCAACGTCTGTTGCTGCCAGAGGTTTAGATGTGAAGCAGCTGATCTTGGTGATCAACTATGATTGTCCGAATCACTATGAAGATTATGTGCATAGATGTGGGTGAGTAATGCTCGCTGGAATTCAGTGTCCAGGGTGGAGCAGGGTGGTGTGGCAGCAAGAATTAACAAGTCGAGTCAAGTCAATTTTTATTTCGATTCACACACAATTTTAATTGATACAAATCAGTGATTTTAAATATAAAAATAAAAGATTGTAAAGGAGGAAGATAATTTTTTCAACGTTAGGTTCATTGTGCAGAGTTTGGGACGCATAAATAGTTCGGAGAATTCGAACTAACCGAGTAGGTGACCCAAAACAACAATACGAGTAGAAGGAATATAGTGACAAAATAGTTGTTTTAGATAAAAAGTATTACTTCATTGACAAAATAGTAGTTAACGGTAACATAATCATAACACTTCAGGAATTAATAACAGTATTATAACCATCAATCATAGAATTCTTGATATTTTGACGAAAACTCGACAACGGCTTGATCTTCAGTAGATAAGAAATTCCAAAGGTTGGTACCGGTGTAAAGAAAAACGCTTGATGACTCGTCCGTGGGAGGTTAAATCATCCCCATCATCACTCGGTCCTTTTGGTCGGGATGCTTCGAACAATGATCTTATTCCACGCATTGCTGTCCGACATCGCGTTCGCAAAATCCTCCCTGTCAATTCCGGAATCTCTCGGGGTCATGATATCTGGGAACGGTTATATATAGCACACTGGAAAGCAAAGACATAAGCAGACCCAGTATGAAATCATATAGCGGTCAACATTGCCCAATATTGCTAGTAGCGGTATACTGCTGAAAACAGTGATGGAAACAGTTTCACTAATTTATGCCGTGAGACCTCAAAATAGAGAATGAAGACGCGCGCTGTCGAGGGAAACATTTGGGTTAATTTGTCGACGGGGGTATCTTCTGTCCAGTCACTTAAAGGAAATTTATTTGCTTATTACAAATGCAATTTATTTGTCTATTTATCTGATTGACGTCGCACTCGTTTAAGATAGGATGTTATTAAAACGGGGTGAACAAGCATGGAGAACGGAAAATGTAAAATGTAAACAAAACAGAAAATTGGGAATAGGGTCATTGAAAGGAAAAGGGTTCAAATTTTTTCCATTCGTTTACTGTTCCCCTTTTCTTATTTTGATAACATCCCACGTTAAGCTAGCGCATCTTTTCGTTGAACTAAACTGATTACGGTGAAGGCCAAACTTTCTGTTGTTTGTTTGTTTACCAGGAGAACTGGCCGAGCAGGAAGAAAAGGAACCTCGTTTACGTTCGTCACCTCCGAGCAAGGAAGGTGAGATTGTGTGTGCAGCTACCTTGATTGACTTTTCAATGTTATCAGAGTTCCAACTTGTTTAAAATGTCAATTTTTCTTCGTTCATTTCTTTTTGTTTTGTTCTTTCTTGGCAGGCATGCAGGTGATATTATTAAGGTAAGATTGAGTTTCATATGTACAACATTAGACCAAAGTATTTCTACCACGCGGAATTTATTGTAAAAAGGTAAAAGGCAAAGGCGCACACAAGCCGAAGGCCCAAACGGCCGGAGCTTATCCTGGTTTCTGTAGCATGAAGCATGCCTATGAGTATTGCTTCTTCCCCCTGGACAGGATGCTAGTCCATCGCAGGGTTACCCCCCAGCAGTATGTCGCCAGTATCCGTTTACACCTGGGTGAAGAGAGACAAAGTGGAGTAAAGTTTCTTGTCTAAGGAAACAACGCGATGGGCGAGGCTTGAAACGTGGATCTTCAGATCCGAATTTCGAGGTGTTAACCGCTCGGCCACACGCGCCCCCACATGCCCTCACTTGTTGTAATCTTCGTTTATTAATAATTCTTTCTGCTGTACGTTCTGCAGGCGTTAGAATCTTCGGCTGCTGTGGTTCCTGATGAACTTCGAAAAGTATGGCAGGATTATACAGAAGAGAGAAAAGCGGTAAACTGACTTTGATTTCATCTTTCATCTCTCCCCCCCCCCCCTCCCCTCTAATAACCTTTTTTGAGCAGTTCATTTGAGGAGTTGATAGGCTGACCATTGATAAAAATATATTGTGTTGCCATCATTTCATAGCACTGATTAATCTGAATACTATTTTAGGAGGGAAAGACCGTCATCCAAAACAGTGGATTCACAGGCAACAAAGGTAGGCCCAACCCTGTTTTGATATTACGTTAAGTCTTAAAGTTTAGTCGATACTCTGTGTGGACAAGAGCAAAAAATTACGACTAACGAGTGCATCTGTTGTGTTGCTTGTTCGGCGAGTGTTGGCCGCATGCATGCGGAGAGGAAATTATGTTTCGGGAAAGAAGTGTCGTAAACAAAGCAATGCAAACCTTAATGTTAAGTTCTCGCAATGGCTGATGTGGTCTAAAGAAAAGAAATGCACTTTATGTGAGTGTCAATGTATTTATCACGAAATTACCAATTGAGGACACTAGTTTGACGTCTGCTACTGGAGACGGGACCGCCATTTTACGTGCTTATCCGAGCCACGCGAAGGTCTAGTACATGAAGGTCTGGGTATTGGTCCGGTTCCAGGGGATCGAGGTCGCGACCTCCCGTATGGTAGTCAAACGCTCTACTGACCGAGCTAATCCTGCCGCGTTAGTGACTAAAAATTAGCTTAACTTCAATTAGTCAAGCAAATTATAGTCAACATTTGTCATTTTTAGAGTGATCCGGTGCCTTGATAACACATCAACATTAAGAATTACAAACTAAATATTACTAATGATTTGATGCTAAAATCACTCGTATTAGCACCTTATTACACCTACATTTTTTTGTTCTGTAGGTTACAAATTTAACGACGAAGAGAAAGCGAAAGTGAGCGAAGCGAAAAAGATTCAGAAATGGGTGAGTTTATTAAATGACCCAAACATATGCCCTGAAATCTTGTGCGACTGAAAATTTATTTATTCAAGAGGGAGCTTAAGGAATTACGACGACGACGACGACGACGACAACTTCAAAAAACAATAGATTTAATGATCAAAACAACAGCTGTGCATGTACCTCACGCTTTTGAGTACATTTCTTTGACGTCCACTGCACGACTACGACGTGAAACCTCCTAATTTGACGTTTTATAGAGGACGTGGACATACGACGACGAATTTTCCTTCCTCTTTTTTAAGTTGAATAAAATCCTTAAGAATTCAACTTCAGGAAAAGTCGCCTGCATTTGACATATTGAGCGGCTCTAAATAGACGCGATTAAGTTTGAAAGAACACAAATTCATTCTTTTAGCGACGTTTTCACTGCCGTCCTCGTCGTCGTTGCTTAAACAACCCTCCAAGTTGCGACCGTTTTAGTTGCCATGGCGCCTAAAATTTTGAAGCTGGCGGCTTGATTTGTAAAAAAGTCTCCCTAAACCAAAAGAATTGGTCGCCAAATGGCGACAAGCAAAGACTTTAACTTGGAGGGTTGTTAAGGTCCCTAATTACTTATTTTCAGGCTCTTGGTCTCCAAGATTCGGACGATGAAGCAGAAGCTGAAGAGAAAGCTGTGGAAGAGGTACTATTTTAACCCTTTAACTGCCAAGTTCTGATTAGTAATTCTCCTTGCTGGCTGCTTTTATTCTATACATTTCTTTGTACGTTATTTAAGAGAATTTGAGGTTATATGAAGATAACAGCCTTCAGCTCATACATTTGCCTTTTCTCATCACCTATCTATTGGACAATGCATTGATGTTACGAGGAGAACTTACATGCGGATCACTTCTGGGAGTTGAAGGATTAACTTTAGTTTGAAAATCTTGAATAGCCGTCAGTACACTACCAGGCTCCCTAACAGCTGGCATTTGCTTAGCGTTGCTTGATGAGCCCAGTAACGGTTGCAAAATTTCAAGACCAAGGCAGAAATCCACAAGGGCCTGTCATCCTCTCTAATAAAGAATCATCTAATGAATTTAAACTGTAGAGTCTGGAGAAGGCATTATTAACTGATGCTTGTTTTTCCGAACTCCCGCTCTTTCGCTCGCTTTTGCTGCATAAAACATAAAAAACTCTCCTGCTCGCGCTTCGTGCTCGGGGAAACTTTGAGCTCGACTTTTAGGCGAGTCTAGTATTTCAGTAAATTCGTTTAATAAAGGTGCGACTGAGCCCTTTTTCGAATTTTGTTTGTACTGATTTAGATTGACAAGCAGTTGGATGCTGTGTTTAGCAAAGGAAAACCACACATAAAGAAAGAAACGCCAACAGCAGCAGCGAGCGGCGGTGAACAAATCAAAGGCGAACAACAGGGTGAGATAAAGTCGGACATTATTTCAAAACTTCCCCCCCCCCCCCCCCCCCCCCCCCCCAGGGTGAGATAAAGTCAGACATTATTTCAAAACTTCCCCCTCCCCCTCCCCCAGGGTGAGATAAAGTCAGACATTATTTCAAAACTTCCCTCCCCCCCCCCCCCCCCCAGGGTGAGATAAAGTCAGACATTATTTCAAAACTTCCCTCCCCCCCCCCCTTAATCCATTTACAAGGCGTTTTCACAGGACGTCACTTCCGCCATGTTGGAGTCCCAAAACAATAAAACGGCGTTCATGTTTGTGTCCTGTGGGATTTGAACTCTTTTCTTATGTAAACGATTTCTGTTGTCGAAACAGCGTGAATCCACTCTTTAAGGGCCTGTTTACATGGAGTGGGGGACTCCGGTCTAGTGGAGTTGGTTTCTTTTGTTTTCACGCTCTGGGGGACACAAAACAAAAGAAACTTACCCCACTAGACCGGGGTCCCCCACTCCATGTAAACAGGGTCTAAGTGACGTTTTTGTAGCCGTCGCTGGCGTTGTTGCCTAAGCTCCCTATTCTAATCTTACTTTTAAGTTGGTCGGGTGGGGAAAAAAACATGAAATCAGGAGAAGTAGAGTGGAGTCCGAACACTTTTTACCATTTTTTGTTGTCATGGTTATCTCTGTGTCTAGCCCCTCTAAGACATTTCCCCAGGCCTTCGCGGTCATCTTTGCTTGGTAAGAGAACTCAATATCTCGTTTTGTTGAACTTTCAGCTAAGCTCAACCTGGCCACAAGTATAGCGGCTAAAATCAACCAGAAGATTATTGCTGGGACAAACGTGAGTGCTTTTGGATACATTTTGGGTACTGTAAATGATCTAATGGACGCCTGGGGCGTCTTTGTAATTTTGGGAGCCCGAGAGGGGCCGTTTAATAGATAGGAGGCGTTTTTGATCAATGTGATTTTTTAAACCGCAGCTTTCGATCTCAGAATCCAACAAGACGCAATGTGCAAAATTTTGTTAATAAAACAAGAAACTTGATAAATTGAATGGTTTTGCCCCCGTTTGATAATTTCTAGCATTTTGGAGTAACTGTCATGGATGGCGTCTATTAGACAGGAGGCGTTTATTGGAGAGGGGCGTCCTATGGTCTAGTACACACTGAATGGCTTAAGGGGGCGTTTATTAGACAAGAGGCGTTTATTTGAGAGTGGACGTCTATTAGATCATTAACGGTAATTACAATTTTTATTGTCAGAGTATCGGGTCTGAGGTATATATTACATGAAAACAACGACGACATATTGTCCTGGGCCGGGTTGTTCGAAGAAGGGTTAAGTTAACTCAGGGTTAGTGCGAAATTTTATTTTTGCTTGAGAAGCAAATTCAGTTGTATTCTTTTTGCCTAAAATTTGATGATTGGATGCGCTAAAAAGAAGAGAGAAAATGACCAGGGAAAATGCTTTTGAACAAAAGAAAAACAAACCCGGGTGAAAATTTAACCCTGGGTTAGCGCGAATCGGCCTTCGAACAACTGGGCCATGTTTTTGTCGCTTACTAATCCCCAGTCCCTTTCTGTTAAAGCAATGAGATCATGCCGAATATAATAAAGGTTGCGGAAAACACGAGCAGATACTATTGGCAAACAGTAATAATTTAGATGAAGTGTCTTTCAATGGCTGATGCAAATATTTAAGAACTACATTATATACCTCATAAGTATTAAATTCGGCACATATTTATTATTCGGTTGTTGTTGTAGAATATGGACCCAACTCAGCAGGCTGCAAGCCAGATCATCAAAGGAGGAACCGTCACTGCTCTTACTGTAAGGAAAAAACTTATTTGTACAAACTGTTTTGTCAGCGGCTGCAGCTTTAACACAGTGCGCAGTTAAATACCATAAGAACTTGTTCAGAGGAATTATGTTGCCAAAAGAGATTTACTAAGGGCCTGTTTACATGGAGGTCGGGGATCCCAGGTAGGTGAGGTAACCCGCTTTGGTGGGTAACCCGCCTGTCCACATAATCTCTTATTTTAGCTTGATTACATTTACATGAAAGGTGGGGTGACCCTTCGCATGTTACCTCACCTATCTGGGGTCCCCCACCTCCATGTAAACAGGCCCTAAGCTGGCAAAACTGCATTTTCTTTTGTTTTGTGTTTGTCACTTGCATGCTGTTATGCCGTTGTTATTGTTTAATATTTTGGCATGATCAGATACTGAAAACTTCTGAAGATAAGTGCACCAAGTTGTAGTGCAAGATAAATTTCCTTCATTTTACTTTTTATTGTCTCTTTTGCTTGTTAATCGGTTGAATTGGACCAGGAGTTACAAATTGGGAGCTTTGCAAACCCTTCTTATTCGAGTCTTACTCACCTATCTTCCACATTAGATTGTTCAAATTCCCCAAATTTTTTCAAGATCATCGAGATTCGAGCGCTCAGCATTTTGTAGCAGTCATTTTGTAATTGGTTTCAAAAGTACCGACGAGGCGGACGTTGGGCTTTATAGACTGGGTGAAGAAGACTGCCTGTAGCACCCTTTTTCTATGAACTTACGGGAAAATAGGGAACTGTGAACAGTCTACTTCCGCATCTGATGTTAAAATGCGACTGGAACGGAAGTTACAGAGGCTCACCTGGATCTGATTTAGGGGCCATTTTCACGGAACTCTGATAATCAGTGGCGTGCAAAGCATGACTGAAGTCAGTGAACCTTAATGTCGTGGCCCGCGTTTTTTTCCCTTAGGGCCTGGGTCTAGCCAAACAGCTGGCCGAGAAGATTCATGGGAAGATTGGGTATGAGGCTCCAGTGGAGGAAACAAAACAGGACGAAAAACCAAAAGAAGAAGAACAACGGTATGAAGATGAAGTGGAAATAAACGACTTCCCTCAAACTGCACGCTGGAAAGTCACATCAAAGGTACGTGTTAACTTTGGCTCGAAATTAACTTTTTCCTTCAGGCTTTAACTCTGGCGACCGGAGGGAAAAATTCGATCGCCAAAACGAAAATTTCTGGTTGCCAGTTTATGACTGCAGGACAGCATGGCGGTTGAACTATAAAGCTAGTACTAATATGACTAACCTACCTTTACGCCCTCCTTTGTATCGCTTTCATTGTTGATCTGATTCCGATTTTGCATTTAAGTGGATTCTGCCGCCGATTCTGTCGTACCGCGAGGCAGATTTGCTTCAACCAATCAGAAGCACTACCCAGATCTGGGCAGTGACACGTCATCAGTATGGAATTTCTGCATCCGTTCTTCAGACGTCAATTTGGCGGGGAAATCGTTGGTGGCGTCGCGAAATGTCGGCTGTTTTCTCTTTCTCTATTATTCATTATTATCAGTGGTGGATCCAGGGGAGGGGCCCGGGGGACCCGGCCCCCCACTTAATTTTCGACCAAAATGAGGCCGAAAGGGCGGAAAAAAATTTTTTTGGAGACCGCCACCCCCCCCCATTGGCCACTGATTATTGTATTTATTTTTTCTGTGAATCCCTGCAGGAAACAATCATGAACATCACCGAAGTCTCTGAAGCTGCCATTACAGTTCGTGGCACATTCTTTCCACCAGGTATAAATAAATCAGATGTTTTCCTTAGTTAACAGTGGCTCTGCAATGTTATTTCTTCTCGGCTAATTGGTTGCTTTTTGCCCTCGAAATTTGACTCTAGCAGCAATAATGGACCTTCGCAACCCTCGCACGTTTGTTCAATTTTTGACAACGACCAGTTGGCGAAAATCTAAAAACGCCAAAAAAGAACGCCTGAAAATTGTCTGCTGTAAAAAAACCTGTCCACCATTGATATGCATGTTACTGCGTGATTTGTCCCGTGAAAGTACAGTGGAATCCCGTTAAATAATACGGTCACCAGTGGGCCAAAAAGAATTTGGCCGTATTAACGGGGTGGCCGTATCAACGTGGGTTTTTTTTACAAGAAAATATAGGGCGGTTTTAGCCAGGCGGCCAAAAAAAGTGGCAGTAATAACGAGGTGACCGTATTATCGAGGTGGCCGTAAGGCGGGGTTTCACTGTATGTGTAATCACAGAGATTGTTGAAAGCATTTGAAATATTTTGAGCTGTATATCTGATGATTCTTTTTACTTTCTTTTTCCCTGTAGGCAAAGAACCCAAGGCGGAAGGCGAGAGAAAAATTTATTTATACATCGAAGGTAAACGTATGACTCCTTTACTATAATCAATCAATCAAATCAAGTCAATCAAGCAACAACTTTCAAAACGTGTCAAAACTTCTAGAATACCACAAAGGGGTGCATCAATCGAAGACACTTGGGGAAGTGTCGAAGGAAGCATAGTTCTCGCTAACTGGAGTAAAGGATATAGCAGGTTTAATCTCACAAGTCTGTGTTATTTGTTTACAGGTCCTTCTGAACGGTCGATCCATTTAGCTAAACTTGAAGTAAAGCGAGTCGTCAAGGAAGAAATGATAAGACTTGTAAGTACATATCCATTGTTTAGCCCTCGACTTTTCTTTCTCTTTTTACATACTTGCCCTTCGGAAGATCGTGTCTTTCGCGCGTTCTTCGGGCCGTCAAGCGTGTGTTCTATGAAACCGATCAAATGAGTTTGTCCTACAAGTTAAGTAACATCAGTCTTACTGAATCCGAAAGACGGAGATGCTTTCTCTTAACACTTGATTCAAGCGAATATCATGGGAATAATAATCAAGAAAAGGCTTTCACTGCTAGAGTTAGCTTGCTTTGAAAGGGCATGGTAAAGGGGGGAATTCCGACACGTGAGAACGCGATGGGTAATAATTCTCTTCCCTCCTTCCTCGCGCAACCATCGCGTTCTCGCGTGCCAGCCTTCTCAAGTTGGAGCTACTTGAGTACGGTCTCCCTCCCCGGAGAGTTTTCTCGCAGGTTAGGGTACTTTGTATCGATGTTCTATTGGCCAGCTTAAGCAAAGCCTCTGTCCCAAGGAGTTTAACTTTTGCAAGACAAAATATTTTCACCTAGTCCTTCCATTCAGCTAAGTCAAGTGCTTCTCTACGAACAACAACCATGGAATGCTATAGCAAAGAGCTACTACTCCCGTTCCACCTCTCCCAGGGGCACGCGTGGTTTGTTTGTGCTTAGAGCACAGGATACTAAGTACCTTCGTGGCTCGTACAAAACTTACCGTAAAGCGGTACATTAACATGAACATTTTATTGTTTCCTTTTCACTAGGGTTCGTTCCGTGGACCTCAGTCTACTGGCAGATACAAAGTGCTTTGAAAGTATCTTATGGTCTTCTGTCTTGATCTCAGTGTGATCTGATGGCGCCCCTGATCTTCTTCTAACGCGGTCTTCAATAACAGCACCCGCTTCTTTCTCTTTTTGTATTCCTTCAAGGGAAAACAAAGTCGCCTGCATTCTGCGCTTTGATCTACGTTGGGAGTTGGGGGAGCGAGAAGGATAGATGCCGCCTCGCCTCTCTTCTCTTTCCTCCGCAGTTTCCCTGTAAGCGAGAGAAGGTGCATCTCACATCTCAGGGAACTAAACGAGATATGTCGATCTTCTGTACTAGCTTTGGTCTGCTGTATTAGCACTAATGTGTTTTTAAGATTATAACATAAGCAAACACGTTTTTATTGAAATTGTTTTATAGGGTATAATTACTGTTAAACTACTTAGCTGACAAGTGAAAAGCTCTTAGGCGATTTCGCTTACTTTTAAATTGCGATAGCTATGCATGCAGTCGAAACCTGTACTGAGCGACACCTCTGTTACGGGTCAACTTTGTTAACAGTACTGAGTACTTCGATACCCTACACATTCATGAGAGTTCTTACATAATTATTTTGAGCGTTTGTTGGCATCCTTCTCTGGAACCTGCAGTGTTTCTGTTGGCCATTGCAGTTATCTTTTTCCTGTTATCAAATAACGAAATAAAGTTTAGCATCTAACACAAAATACCTTTCTTGTTGTTTTTGATCTGTGTGACGGGTTTTCAGTCTATTGCATGACTATAAATGATTAGAATTTGTATTTGGCTGAATATAATAATAACCAAGCGCGATCTCGCAGGCACGCACGCGTGCAGGCGCCCTGATTAAAAGCGGATAAAGGTTGGGCGGTGAAACGAGAGCGTCCGAGCAAAAAGGTGTGACGCAGTGGACTGGGACTCTGTTTAGAAATGTCGCCTGTTTTCGACTTTGGTCAATTCGGCCTGGGCTTGCGATGTGGTTTGTCGTTTAGACATTACGCCCATTTATACGAGGAAAAATAAGACGCGTCTTGCATAAGACGCGAACTGTACCATTTATACGGGCATGTCTTATCTAAGACTAGAACAGTTCGTATAAATGGTTCGCGTCTTATTTCTGTTCTTGAGTCGTTTTCATGTGAATGTTGCCCGTAGCAACGGCAATCCAACGTGGCGCGCCAAAAATTAACGCATGCGTACTATGCGTTTGCGTCTTATTTTAGACGCGAAGGTCATTTATACGAAGTTTTTCTTGTGTTAGCTAAGACGCGTCTCATCTAAGAACAGGTGTTAAGGGCTGTTCTAAAATAAGACTGGTCTTAGCCAAGCCGCGTCTTATTTTAGACGAAATGTGCCGTTTATACGGAAAGTTAGACGCGTCCTATGTAAGACGCGTCTTATTTTTCCTCGTATAAATGGCCCTACTGTTAATGATATATATGAAATAAATCATATATGAACTGCGGAAATGAAATGAAAATGAAGAAATGAAGAAATGATCGTCCCAGTGAACGCAATTTATGCAATTGCGTAAAGAAGCCTGAAAAGACTCTGCCGCTGTCGCTGAATTTATGGCGGCTTGACTTGTTTTCTTACACTTTTCTTCCTCGTTCCTTTGTGCTGGTACGCTGTCTCCAAGGGGCAAATGTTGCTAATTTTTTGCGGGAGGTTTAGCTGGAGTAAACAAACATCTCTTTCAAATGGTTTCTCTGGTTACTTCCATGACTCTACCGCTGAGTTTTATTTTCGTTATATTACGCCAATGTCGATGTTATTTCAAAACAAAAACAACTAAATAGTCTAAAACAGGAAGGAAAATCTCATCCATGTCATCCATGGTAAAACTGAAAGACAGCAGATGGTTTTTCACAACCAGATGACGCATCGCGCTAGGCGTAATTATGCTAATTTCAATCACCATCATCCTTTTTAATTTTGAAAAAAACTACTAGTACGTCTTTCTGTTTCTTCGGAACTTCAAAATTAGTTTCCCCTGTGTTAACTGTTTACTTTGTTTTGTTTTTGAGGGAAAAACGGAGAAAAAACCTTACAATTAACCTCAATAAATTTTGTTTACATGCGGTTGACAGATTTGCGACGCATTGCGCGAATCGCCATGGCGCGTTGCTCCCGAGATCGAGAAGCAATGTTTGAAGTAGTACAAAGCCACTATATCAAAATATATCAAGCTAGTTTTTTCTTATGTTATGTAAAATTTATCCCCCTTTAAAATATGTAAAAATTACGGTTAAGAAATGTTAAGCTTTTGCAAACGAAACGGCGAAAGACGATTAGGTCATATTTAGCAGAAGGAGGAGGCATTCAACACTTTCAAATTGAACTCAAATTTTGGCATTACACGACCAACAAGTTGGACTTTTAGGCATACAAACATTAACATATGAAACTGTTTATTAATATGGTTATGAAACAAATTTATCTATTTAACATTGTAGCCTGAAGTTACAGAAAGAAAATAGGATTTCCGGTTTGCAAAAAAAAATGTTTCACCGGCCTTCAAGCGACCGGAAGCTTACCGGAAGCGCGGAAAGAGCGCTCGTGCCTGTCCTACTCCGCGTCAGACATTGAATGAAGATTCACCGCTCAACCTTTATCCGCCCTGCCCTGATTGATTAGTTTGCGTGATAGGAGTTCGAATTTCCCCTTTCGAGCGCCTGCTACGGATGGAGGCTATGATGCTATTGCGTTCGCGTTTGTGACAGACCGTTCACCCATTGTCGGTAATACGAAGATTTAGCAACAGGACGGAAACGTAAGTCGGCGACGGGAAAGCGCGTGGAAAGGACTAAACACGACTTCCAGTGCCCAATTTGCCGCTTTTCCATTGGTCAAACCTTTTGTTTGATTTGCGCGCGCCGTTGTCAACTGACGTTTCCGTTTCTTTTTTTTCAGGAATGTTCTGTTGTAAGTAGTAAGATGCTAAACAAAGTTGTCTCCATGGTGTATCTACTCAATCAGCTCTGAGAATCTTAGTTCGATTAAACAGTCGACATTTCACGCCACCAGCTCGTTTCCCCGCGAAATGATGTCTGAGCAACAAGCGCAGAAATGCTATACTGCTAACTGGTTGTCGTGCCGCGAACAAAATTAACTTCAACCCGGGAAGCACTACCCAGATCAGTATGCAATTTCTCTGCTTATTCCTCCGATGTCAACCAGTGGCGGCGTCTCGAAATCTAAGCAATTTTCGTAGACCACAAGAATCTTTAACATACATTCATCGGGCTGGGCCCAAGGCCTGGCTTCTTTAGCAGCATATCTCAGACTCTCCGTGAATGGAGACAACCGAAGAGAGCCAGCGCAAAGAATAGCTGGCCGAAAAATTTTTTCCCTTCGAATTCACTTTTCTTTTCGGTCTTCCTGACTGAATTAGACATTGTAATACGTGTTGCTTTATTTCTAGCATTTTTATTGGCCACCTGTTTATTTCACAATTACCTTTCGTCGCTGCCGCGTTCGGGAAAATGTAGCCACGATCTCAGGCGTTAGGTTGTGGGGTTGGCGCAAAGAGGTGTGAGGAAAACAACTCCCGCCCCACTCCACCATCTTAACGCGTGGAACAGGCTATCGTAAAAGGCTAGGGCACCGACTCTACAAGACGACTTACTTAGTTCCTTGTCTTCTAGGTAAAGAAATGTTCGGACCGACCCGGATTCCACACGGGCTTGTGGCTCTGCAGCCTGTCCCATAAATATCATTTAGCCCAGTCATCTTCCAGTATATGGTAGTTTCAGAATGTTGTGACCACAAAATGACATGCTTCGTGCTTGCGCCCCAAAACCCACTGGGTCAGGCCGGGCGCCGCTAAAAACCGCCTTTTTTGCTGGCTCAGTTTCCGGGCTATTACCGTTAAAACAGCTCACCACGTCTCACGGCGGGCTTTTTGCAACTAGTCCTGTACTCTAAGAATGGATTTTCGAAGGTATTAAGCGGCGCAGGTTAAAAAAATATGGGCCTCTGGCAACTCGTCCACCCCTCCCATCCTCCTCTGGGAACAATTAAGATGAGCGTGGGTGGCCTGGAAAGGGGATAGTTTGAAGAGAGCCGTTATCATGATTCTTAGTACTGTTCTTCGGTAAAACAGGAGGTTATAACGCATGGGAGCTATTCTAGACATCAAATACCGTCAGACACCCTGAATTGCCTTTTTTCCAGTAACACTTTCCTTTCAAGGACATATTATTACTTCCACATCTCCCAGCCAGCAAAAATGTCCCAGCAGAACAAATATTTAATTTGAGGAACAGATCCATTGGGCCCCCGTGTAACAAAAATAGCGGCTCAAGACATTTCTCATGGAGAGGAAACGTTTACTGTTGGTTTTCATTAGCGACGGACTCGGCGTTGTGGTCGTAATCAGAAGCGTAAAGCTAATGATCTACTAGCCTGAGATCATACCCTCTCCCTGTTATCCCATTATGTTACTTTTTTCCCTCTCGAGCCAAAGAAGCAAAGAAGCAAAAAAAAAAAAAAACGCCTGATCTCAGGTTAATGATCTACTGAAAGCAGCGTTCCGATTCCGCTTAGGACTCCGTCGCTTACGTTCCGCCTATTATCTAGTGAAAACCAGATTGTCGGAGTCGGAAGCAGAAGTGGAAGGATAACCCAATCACAATGCACGTTCCCACGCTTTGTGATTGGTTTAGTTCTTACGCTTCTGCTTCCGACTCCGACAATCTGGTTTTCACAAGATCATAAGCGGAATGTAAGCGACGGAGTAGTAAGCGGAGTCAAAAGAAATGGAAACGTTCTGATTCTTTTGACTCCGATTCCGTCGCGCTTATGTCTCTGCTTACGACTCCGATCTTTGATTTTTACCAGGTCATAAGCGCTCTCTCGACTCCGCTTACGATTCCGACTCCGACTCTGTCGTTAATGAAGACCAGCCCATCTCAAACCTTGCCGGTTAATTGTTTTCCGTTAATTTTTATGTTTTGTATCTGCTTAATATAACCATTCCACGATAGGCAATTGTTTTACAAATAATCTAAAATTCAAATGATGTTAACACAACAATAAAACTGGCGGGAAAGCTTTAAAAGCCATTTGTTTTACGTAAACCAATCAAATGCGAAAACCATTGTAATGTTATTATGATTGACAGCTGCGAGTGAATAATTGAAGATCAAGCGAAGTAAGTTCACTCAGGGCTTGCGTTTCTACATGCTCTGGAAAGATTAGTGCGCTGGAATAAGAGAAATTATTTCGACCCAAACAACTTTAAGACCCAGCTAAACGTGGACGCGTTGCAGCGCTGTGAGCGTCAAAGTTTTAGAAATGGGAGTTGGAACGCGTTCTTCAGCCAAGAAAACTCAGGGTAGGTGGCATGTTCGACCGCTCGCGTTCGCAAGAGAAAACGTGTTTTGAATGTGGGTTGTTTGGAAATTCCTTCACAAGCTAGCGAGAAGATTGATAAATTATAATGCTTTGATTTCAGAAGAGGAAGAGTTAAAGGCCAAGTTGGCAAATAGAGTCGACGCTGAAACTCAAACGGACCCTGATATTACGGGAGTTGACGCTGACGATTTCGAAGAAGACGATGGCGAAGAAGAATCAGGCTCGGAGAGCAGCGAAGAGGAGGAGGATGGAGAAGGAGAAGAAGCACAGTCTAGGGGTGTCGACAAGGGAACGTCTTCTAAACCTGTGCGCCGCAAAATCATTGAGCTGAAGTATTATTTTGGAGAAGATTTACCCGATGCAGAGCTCGACAAACGTAAGTGTGATATCGATAATTTTGCTCAAAGCACATGGCAAGTTTGCATAAATTAGTGATTACAGTCTGGAATTTTACTCCGAACGGTTCTGTTATTTTGCGATTTAAAAATCTTGTTGAACGACTATAGGGTGCCTTTTTGCAAATTCTGGGCACATCTCCTTATTGCAGATGAGATAAATACGTAGTTTGGAGAAAACGCGAGTTTCCATCGTGAGTCTGATCTCGGATGACTCGGAATTCAAGACAAGTCTACTTATATGCGTGCTTATAATTGCATACATCACAAGGCAGGACTGTAAAGATAGCTACATAAGCTGATCTAAACTCCCAACTAGATACACATTCTTCTCACGGGTTCAAAGAATATTGCCTGTGTTTCAGCGCAAACGTTTCGCCAGCCATGTCCTTTGTAAACATTAAGGCTTAGGACTAAAATTTCTCGCTTCACTCACATTTATTAGCATATGCATGTATTGGTTTACACTTACAGTGAAGTGAATGAAACTAAAAAGATCACAGCGAAAACGAAGCGAAAAATCAATGCTTTGCTTGATGTCAGCTATATTTATGCATGAGGAAAATTTTCGCAGGTCTCCCGAAATTCCCACGTGAGGAAATTTCCACTTTCATTTGCTACATTTTTGGTGTCACGCATGCTAATTTTGGAAAACCATTCAAGTGTACAAACTACTGGGACGCTGAATTGGCTTCCGTTGCTGTCATTTATATGCGACCTACATTTCGTCGCTAGAAAGATAAGGAACTGGTGTTGCAGTTAACTTTAATCATTGCATGGATACTCGACATAATAATTCAGCATCAGACAGACTCTATTGAGGGATGTTTACAAAAACTTACATGTGCTTTAGAGAAGAAAGGTTCCATTTTCTCATTAAAATCCTACATTTGGATTGTATTCTTGTTGTATACAGTTAATATTTTGGGGCCCTAGTCTACAAAGTTAGAATTTTCCAAAACATGTTCTCTATAGTATTTAACATCTCCAAGCAGACGATGAGGTGGTTTGTAGTGACAGGGGCAAATTTTTTCACAACACATTAAGATGAAAACTAGTTTTCATTAATTTATAAGAGCTGACTAAACCAATTTTGCAAACTTTGAGGGCCCACAACAAGAGTGATTTGTACACATGTGATCAACAGGGCCTGGTATGCATGTGCTTACTAAGTAGTTAATTTAGGAATTAAGTTGATTTGTCAGCCTGCAGGGGTGGATCCAGGATTTTTTATTGGGGGGTTGGCTGACACCAATCAGCCACTAAACTATACGTTATTAAATTTATTTTAAGTTGTCCTACATTTGTCCAAAACATGGCGATTTAGGAAGGACAAATTGAAGACTGTAACACTGAAACTCTTGATGCGCCACAAAGTAGAAGAAAGAGAAGCTAATAGTTACTGCCCTAATACACTAACACTAACACTGAAACTCTTGATACACCACAAAGTGGGAGAAATAGAATAAATAATATATTACTACCCTAGTCGGCCAAAAGTGAAGACGCTGTCATTTGTAGAGGGTGCAGCGCTACAAATTTCTCACAAACCACACTTGTAAATCGCGTTTGTTTTGCATTTGCATGCGTGGCAATGACGGCCAAATGTGAGAGTTGTTTGGTGGTCATTGTTTGGATCAACAAATTATTGTATGCTTCTATATTCTGTAAGCTGTTTCTGATTGCAGTAGCAATAGCTGAACCAGTCATTCTTGGCAGATCACACATGTCGATCAGAACCCTGTGCTTTATTGGCTTGGATGGGTCAGCAATGAAGTTAAACAGGCAGAGATACCCTGACAACACTTCTTCACAACCCTGAGAAGCTGTTTCGTCCACAATTAATGCTAAGTGGGGATTCTTCTCAAGGCAGTTTTGAAAATATTCACATTGTGAGGCTAGATGGCTTCACATGGTTTTTGGGACCCATGTATTGCCATTTGTTTTCCCACGAATTATATTTTTCTGGTGGGGTGTTCTAAAGGGGGATGGCTAGCCACCTAATCTACCCCCCCTGGATCTGCCCCTGACCTGAAATTAATGGCAAGGGTTTTGTCTTTTTCACAAATTGTTCTTTTTAGCTAAATGCCATTTCCACAGAATTAAGTTGCATTCGTTAATTTATATACAATAAAATATTTGTTGTTGGTTGAATTTTCTGGAACGGTTTAAACAATAACATCAATAAAATGCTCAGCACCGTAAGCATACTATGTAGGATGGAACAAGGATTGCAACACTGAAATGAAATTTAATACTTTAATCTTCCAATGGCAAAAACCTTATTTGAAACTACTGTTGGTTAGTGACGGGCAAATGTTCGGATGTAGAGGAGATAACCTTTGGTCACATATATATGAACTTTTAATAACAGTATTTTTAAGCTTATTAGTGGCTTGGTCATCTCAACTTCTGCAACTGGATACTCAACTTAAAAAAGTTTGTTAAGAATTTAAAAGAAAAGTGTTTTGTAAGGGGCATCTTACCTGTAAGATTGAAGCCAATTGTTTGAGAGGTGATATAGTTAAGTGCAAACTGTATCATTTTGTTTCATGCTAGTAATTAACATTTTTATTGCCTTAAGTACAAACCTCCTATACGTTATTATGTTTGATTTAACACTCTTTTCTTTTTATTCTTTGGTTGCTTTCAATAGTTGCACAAGCAGAGGTAATTGTTCCCCCTGGACTTGAAGTCAAAGAATCTAATATTCCCAAGGCTGGTCGTGGAGTGTTTGCTAAGTGTGTAATTCCCAAACATGACTTTTTTGGTCCATTTATTGGCAAAAAGATTCCTGCCGAGGACGCAAAGAAGTATAAAGACTCTCTGTATGTATGGGAGGTGAGATCTTGTTTTATTTGCTTGTTATTTAAACAACAGAACAAAATAATAATGATTGTTTGGTGGACAATGAGGCAAGGTGGGTAAAGGCTCACAGGAGCCAAAGGCCCGATTTGGCCGGAGTTTATCCTGGTGTCTTTAGCATGAAGCATGCCTAGGAGTGATATGCTACTCCCCACTGGACAGGATGCTAGTCCATCGCAGGGTTACCCCCCAGAAGTATGTTGCTGGTACCCATTTATACACCTGGGTGAAGAGAGACAAAGTGGAGTTAAGTTTCTTGTCTCAGGAAACAATGCAACAGGCCAGGCTTCAACCACACTCAACCACATACGCCCCCACCAGTAGACAATGAAGCTAAATATAATTATCAGTATCTTTTTTGAGTATGATCATCTAGTTCACTTAACTTGAAATCGTGAAAGATTATTATTGTTCTCCAAAAGAGGTTTTAAAGTCAAGTCTCTTTTGCAGATGATTGGATCTGCCAGAAATGGACAGCGTTGTTAATTTTTTGTCAATTGTTGTCTTTGTTATTCCTGTTTTGTAACTGTTTGACCTTTAAGATTTGAGTGTTGTTAAGTGACATTGTAGCATACTTTGGTCAATCCACTAGTAACATTTCATGCATTAGTCAAATTTATTTTGTGATCAGTTAATTTTATTTGATACAGTTGTCTGTTTGTTTCCCTGAGAATGTAAAAATGGCAGCGGAGGAGGGCGATCAAAAGTCTTAATCTTCCTCTAGTAAAAATGGGGCCTGCCTTTAGATTATTAGAGATACAGTTGTGGAGGATAAAAACTGTGTCACAAACTTGTAGGTACGAGATGACTATGGCAAGCTGATGCACCTTGTTGATGGTCGTGATGCATTTCAGTCCAATTGGTTACGCTATGTGAAATGCTGCCGCAGCCCAGCTGATCAGAACATCCGTGCTGTTCAGTATGATGGAAATATCTATTACATGGCAACGAAACAGATTGAGGTTGGAGACGAACTCCTGGCATGTTATGGAGAAAAGTTTGCCCGGATGCTGGGGATAAAAGTGCCAAAGAAAACATCCTCCAAGGAGAAAGGTGTGTATTTCATCCTCTCGGTCTTACATTTAACTGCCGCCTGGTTAGCTCAGTTGCGAGAGGCCTGACCTGTCTGCCGAGCAGGAAGACACAGGTTCAATCCACGACCAGCTGGTCCAACAACCAGAGTTTTAATAACCTGGTAAGATCATGCAGGCTGTGATTCAAGATTTTGTCTCAGTTCAGATGATCGCGTCATTGGGTGGTGACGTTAACTAAGCTGTGGGCTTTCTATCCTTCATCCTTCCTTATCAACTGGAAAGAGGTGTGAAGGAATGAAAAGAATTTGAAAAGAGTAGATGTAGACCTTGTGGTGTGGTCTACATTTCTCATGGGGGAGGGGACCGTTACTAGCCTGCAGTGACCCTGCCAAAAATTGGCCAGTCTAAGAATAATAGCTGTCCCTGTTTGTAATTGGCTCAGGGAGATCAGGGTGATAAATGAAATCCTATTTTTTGTACCTGTGAAGTACACATGCATAGTATTGTTGGTGTGACCTCCTATACCTACAATTGCCAGTATCCACCATCCAGGGGAGTTTGGGGGGGAGGACAACCATATATGGGCTATATAGGTATGTGCCATTGTGAAGGGTATGGTTTTAAGCATTTTTAGGGAAAGGAAATTTAGTTCGCGCTAGCGGGGAATTTGAGTTATCCGAGTTTGAGTTATCGAGGTTCTACTGTATTATTGGTTGAAGATTTTGGTCGTCACAAGGTAAACAGGGAATTGACACTAAAAAAAATGCAGTTGGCAAATTTAAATGTAAATTTACCTGCAACTCAGTTTTATAGCAATAAATTAGCATCTGAGGTTTCTGGAAAATGGTGACTCTAGGATAGGGAGGGATTTTGAGAGTTTAGTCTACAGATAGGATTCCCAGCTGCACATCCCCATCCCAGAAGTCCTTAAGTATCCCAAGGATTTATTGATAAAGACCTATCAGGACTTGAACAAGCGACTCCCATAAAAATGTCTCCTTTTTTTTCTCTACAGAACCTGCTGATGAAAGTTTTGGCTGCAAAAACTGTGGAAAAATGTACAGTAACCCTGCATCACTTATTGGTCATCTTAAGTACAAGTGCAATACAGGTATTGAAAACATTTTATTTCTTGCATGAAGTCTTTAAGCAAAGGATCAAATTAAAAGCCATATTTTTTACTACTGAAAAGATGCAGTACAGCTGTGCATGTCATGTCAAATCGTGCCTTCAACAATATATAAGCTAAGGCAATCTGAAAAATAATTTAAGAGCTTAGTTAAAAGCCTTTACGTGGCTATCTTATGTCACTCATCCATTCAATTCAATCCTTTTCATTTTTTCAGGACAGCAAAGAAGCATATTTGTACCTCAGCCTGTTGGTCCACGTGCTGCTATTCCTAAGATCAAGGTGACTGAAGAGTATGCTCGCCAACAGAATGAGAAACTAAAGAAGTTTAAGTGTGATGAGTGTGGAAAGGCATTCATCCGCAATTACACCTTACAGTGCCACAAGTTGATTCATACTGGTATAAAGGAACACAAGTGCGCTGAATGTGGCAAGGAATTCACCCTACTAAAGCATCTTCAACGACACCAGCTGGTTCATACTGGGGAGAAGCCTTACAAATGTCACCTCTGTGGACGTGCATTCTCCCAGCAAGGCAGTCTTCAGGCTCATAGCCGCACTCATACTGGAGTCAAGCCCTATTCATGTAAAATCTGTGGGCGGGCCTTTGCACTGCAGTCTCCACTACTGTCCCACATGAGGACACACAGTCAAGAGAAGGCCTTCAAGTGTGAGACGTGCGGAAAGGCTTTCACTCATAGAAACACCTTGTCCAGGCATGAGCTTATCCATACTGGTGTCCGCCCTTTTAAATGTGACCAATGTGGCAAGACCTTTACTCAGACCAATGATCTCAAGCGCCACAGTCGCATTCATACTGGTCTGCGTCCTTACAAGTGCCACATTTGTAACAAGACCTTCACAGTGGAGTTCACATTGGTTTGTCACATCCGCACCCATACTGGTGTTCGCCCTTACAAGTGTGACTACTGTGATAAGACCTTTACCCAGCCTGGTGCCCGACTGAAACATGCGCGAAACAATCACCCTGACAAGCCACTTCCAGGCAAGGTGAGTGGAACATTTAATTTTTGTTTTATTTATTTATATGCCTCACAATAATAGAAATACAGTACATATATAATGTGTAAGGTAAGTACAAGTGAAAGGAAGTGGAGAGGAGACCTAGCAGAAACTGTAGGAGCTTTTGAGAGGTAATAGACCTCCTTGAACTTAACGAGCTGTATTAACTGTTTTAAACTGAATAAAAGATGGTGTTAAGTTAAAGGTAGAAAAGATTTATGATCGTTTTTTTATATGTACTTATTAATTTAATCTTTAATATTTTCTTAAAGGAGGACATGAATTAAAACTTAGGTCCTTGAAAAAAAAACTTAGAACTTCTTAGTGTTTGTTCCACAGTAGGATAGATAATGGGCCTGGGAATTTCTTGTATTGTAACAGTAGAATATTGATTACTTTGGAAGAATTTGTTATAAAACCTTGGAGGCGAGAATGAATTTTTGAGAGAATATGTTTACTATGAACTCCCATAACAGTGGACAACCTCAGGACTGCGAGGTAGCCTTTGTAGTAGCAAGAATCCGTAATAGTTAGAGTCTATTTCAGTCAAATAGGTCTGTAATATTTATTTTTGATGGGGATTTAGCTGCTGATTGTGTCACCAGGGAGTCTGTAATAGCATTAAATGAGAGGTGGGAGTTGATTGCAAGTAGGTATTGCCAGTTACAATTTTTCGTTAATTTTTATATTGTGGTGGCAAATGAAAGTGCACAACAGCTCTCACCTTTTAGCGTAACTTTTTTTATAACATAGCTAGAAAATTCGCCTAATCAAATTCAATAGCGCGAGCGTGCTTCATATTCCTATTGAGCACGCTGATGACGTCAATAAACTATTCGTAATTCCTCGAGTGGTTGTGAGCTTAGCAATCCTGAGTCTCCTGAGTGCATCCATAACTCAGCAATAGACAAGGAAGCGTTTACGATGTGTTTTATAAGGAAATTTAAGAGGAAACGTTTGAATTTGTTAACCGATAATAGTAAGGAAAAGAGGTGAGTGTTGTTGTTGTTGTTGTTGTCATCTCCGCGAGCTGTGCGGGCTATGGCGTAAGATCATTCTTTGCAAACTTGTTTTCTCTCAATAACAATTTTTCGGTAAATTAATAGTTTTCCGGCACCTAAATATGGATTTTATAATCATTTTAGAGTACACTTTCTCTCAGTTTCAGGATAAAAACATAAGATTAACTGTGAGGAAAAAAATATATAGTCACGTAAACATTGACGCGTACTGCTTTGAGCGCACCCTACAATAATAAAATTATAAGTTAACTGATGCATTGATCGCTTTGATGATGTTATAAAACAATTAGTTCATGCTGCAGCTGTGCGTATGTCGAGTTATTGAGCACTTGGGAAGTTTGGAGAGCACTCAAGAGGCTAGAGTTGCACTCGGCTGCGCCTCGTGCAACTCTTACGCCTCTTTCGTGCTCTCCAAACTTCCCGCGTGCTCAATATCTCGACATACGCACGCTGACGCATGAACTAATTGTTAAATGCATGGCTATTATTTTAACCCTTTTACTCTTAGATGGTGAGATGATCTGATATCTAGCTTTTACTTGTCAACATTCAAATGAAACCACTTTGGCAAAACATTTCAGCTGACATTTGTATATTGCGATTTAAATTTTAGGATTTTACGAAAAAAATTGAATTTTTTATTATTTTGCTCACTTTTTGGGGTGAAAGAATCAGGGGCACCCAACGGCAATTTTCGGGAAAATATCTGTTCGGAAGACGATTTGAGATCTAGAATTTTCGGGACATTTGTTGTAAAATTTCTTGCTTGCCTGCCTCTCCTAGGATTTTCGAACAGCTACAAAATGGTATAATTACCCATTTTTAACGGATTTTGACCCTAAAAAAGGCCACCTAGAATTTTCGGGAGCCTTTTCCTGGCTGAAATTTTCGAGAAGGTAAGTTTTTATCCCTATAATTTTCGGATCACTAGACTTTCAGCTAGGAAATCCGAACAGATGAAAAGTTTTTAGGGGATAAAAATGTGCCTATATCTACTGTTTGAATACTAAAATACGTTTGACAATGCTATGTTAATTGGTTTTGAACTATATCCTCGTTGGGTGCCCCTGAAGAATTATATTGGCTTAAAAAAGAGGAGGTGAATGCTGATCTCAGAACATTTTTCCTCATGTTATTTTAAGGAGACAAGTACAGCTACCTCAGCAAGTGCAACCACATCACCCTCTCAAAGTGAAGATCAAGATGTTGAGTTAACTGATGTCAGTAATGATGCTTCTGCCTCAACTGAGGAGTCCAGTGCTGAAACTGCACAGGCTGCTAAAGATGTTGTTGAGGTGCCTTTGGAGGCTGGCTCTGTTGTTGTGGATGTTGAAATTCAGCTGCCGTCAGCAGCTGTTGCACCATAAGCCACTTAAAGTAGTTGCTGCAGAATTAATCTTTGCCTTCCTCATAGAAGGTTTTGGTTTTTTTGCTTTGGTTATGACTTGCCCCTCCCCCCTGGCCTTTGTCTTGGGAGCTTAACCTCTTCCTTGTGTTTAAATGACCGTTTTTGTTTGGAGTATGGATATAATTATTTGGAACTGCCAAGCAACTGTGACTAGTTAAAAAAGTTTCGGTAGTTTGTAGAACCTCCAACAGGATCCCTTTTTTACTTTAGCAAGATGTCATTGTTTTAGTGGTCATTTTGGGATGGTACCAAATTACCTTCCTTAGTTGCTAGTCTTGCGGCAATAATCCTTTTAAATTTGTCCAGCTATTTTTAGTTAACAAGTAAAGCTGGATCATTGTGTGTATGCACACTGGTAAATTAAAAAAAAACTGAAAAGTTGAGCCATGAGAGTTCTAATGATGAATTATTATAAAGTTATAATGGTGTTAGTTAAAGAGGTGAAGGGAGGAACGACCTCTGTCAAGTAAAAAGACTCAGGGCATGTAAGCTTATAACTTTTTACAAATTCTAGTTACCTTAGACTAAAGGAATAAAAAGACATTCTGGTGAGGTATCACAATATCAACCTTAGAGGGGTGAAGGGAACCAGAGGTTTATCTAGTGATTCATATTTGTTATTGGTGTAGGAATTAATTAAATAGAATTTGAAACTGACTGTGATAGAATTGATAGGTTAGAAAATTGATATTGCTTCTCTCCTTAGCATGGCAGGCCATTGCATGCATACAAAGTAACTAAAGTGTAAAAGAAATTCGATTTTGTATGATTATACCTGTAGATGCTGATGATATTGAACTTTGCCATGTATCATTCTGGCTTATTCATCCAAATTTTAGGCTAATTTCGCCGTCATACTATGTGCAATAGGCCACTTGCACTAAGAGGTCACGTGACCAATGCTTCCTTTAAACAATGAGTTGGAATCTTGCTGATGCCAAAAATTGACAGAGCGCGTAAAAATTATCTTACACTCGAAATTTGAGAGGAAACGCATTTAAGGGAGATATTTTATGGCACTTTGATTTTTCAACAAAGTAGTATCATTTGTATTGGCCGCCATGTTGGAGGGCATACTCTTGCCCTCCAACATGGCAGCCAAAACTACTTTTTGCTTAGATCTTGTTAAACGTTTGATAGTTACGCTCAGATGTGATGTAAACATTTCCACATCAACTTTTCAACATTTTCCTTGAAGTTTAAGTGCAAAGTTTGTGTTCAGAAAGACGTAATTCATAATTTTAAAATCACATTTTGGTCACGTGACCAGCTACGAACTCACTCATTTTAAGAAAATGGTGCAGGTTTGAAAAACCAGATCACTATTATTTTGTTAAAAATAGGACCCACTAATCGTTTTTTGAAGAAAAAACCACATAACTTTCATTTTCATAAAACAATGTCACATGACCTCTTCGTGCAAATGGCCTATTAGGCTAAAATTGAGTGGGGTAATTTATCAAACTAAGGCATATTTTGTTTGTTTCAGTTCATGGTTTAACGTTAATGTCAAATGTAGGCGGTGTAAATTAAGCGACAAATATGAAATATTTGTTAAGAATCGACTGTAATAAAATTGATTTCTCAAATTTGGGATGCATTTTCTACCTACATCACTTAGATGGAAATACCAACAAGTGAGTCTTACCTCGCTGACAGCTCTGCGATCCACGCACGTTCCAAGCGCGATGCAAATCTCGACCAAAAATCTCGGATAGGGTAGCAGTTTAAGCTTTTTGCGATTCCTGTTAAACCGTTGACGCTATCCTAAGTTTACAAAGAGGATTGAAACTATGATTTGCCATGTATGAAAATTCTGTAAAGATTCAACTTTTGCGCATGCCTGCCTTAATACCGCTCCACCCATGAAAGCGAAGCGCTAGCGGCGTAGCACCTCTGTCGGCGTACGCTAGTCCGTCCGTACAGACTCTTAGGAAGAGGTTCAGTAAGGGAAGAGCCGGGAAAGGGAATCACTGACGTGCAACTTGTGTTCGTCTTGGTGAAAAGCGAGTTGCTCCGGTAAACATTTAGTATGTAAGTGCATGACCGGGGGTGCTCCAGCGTCCTTAACTCTAAATTGCTAAACATACCACTTCTCCGTACTGATAGTGGGCAAAGGTCCTCTGAATGAGTTGCAGACGGCACTCAAGCTAAGCGAACCCCCATTTTTCTTTAGGGATAGTAGAGCGTGCGAAACGCGAGCGCGCGTGAAAATCACCCCACGCGAAAAAAGGCGCGTGTCGCCTTTTCTCGCGTTTGGTGATTTTCACGCGCGCTCGCGTTTTATCCCTGAGGGAAAATGGGGGACCACTCGTAGTCAACTCTCTTTTAAAAATGACGGGGATTCTTATCGGAAAGTTAGAATTAAACCCGAGGGAGATCATTCTGGGCGTGGCCTAAATTGGAAATGTTGCCCAAAAGTTGCCGAGCATAGACAGCCTTATTTGGACCCCTTACGGTATTTATTTTATTTCCTTTTATTTATTTTGCCACTCATATCAGTTTCTTACAGTGGTTGAAGATTGCAACACATGTCTAGTAGCAGGAAGTTCTCTCCAAGCTTGTTACGTTAGAGCTTTTTCTAAGGAGATCTGCTATCCTGCGAATACAGCCGTTTCTCCTGGCTCCTCGCCGCAAGGGACGCAAACGGCGTAGCCTCACACGCAGACGTTCTGAGGGGTTCGTCATGCGTTCCTGCCCCACTAACGCGTGACGAACCCCCAAGAAGGTCTGCATGGGAGGCTACAAATGAGGAGCAAGGAGAAACGGCTGTATTCGCAGGCTAGATATCTCCCCTTTGTTACAAATTTTAAAATGACGGTGACTTAATTAAATTCATTACCATGTAGCAATATAGATAAAATATTACGAATTATTTAAAACGGCTCTTACCATCCTCACGGTTTTTCCAGGTCGGAATCATACTGTTGCTGAGCAATATGTCATTTGAAATGTCAACAGCCATAAAAGGACTGTGTAATTAGACGAGTATCCCCGGCTTAGTTGTGGGAGTCCCCCTCTTCCTCGTGCCCAGAGTCTTTGCCCTAGACTACGAGTAGTCCCCATTTTTCCTCAGGGATGGTAGAGACCCCGTCTCGCCTTTCTCGTGTGGGGTGATTTTCACGGGCTCTCGCGTTTTGCTCGCTCTACCATTCCTGTAGCCTCCCCCGCAGGCGTTGTTAGGGGAGACAGACTGTCCTGCTGGTCAGTGGAAAATGCCATTTGCAAATGATTGCTTCATGTACGAGGAAACTGTATGAGGTAATACGGCGGTATTTTGCATAACCGCGTCTGATCTCCGCCGTCATGATACGATGAGCTTTAGTTGGTTCACTCGGAGTTTGCACAGGTTAACAATGGCAGCTCCACGAAAAGTCGCAATTATCGGTTCAGGAAATTGGTAAGTCAAGTCGCTGGTGTTTCGAACCTGCCATTTCGTTTAGAAGGAACAGATGAAGTTTGCGTTTTGATCTGTATTCATGAAAGCCCTTCTAGAACGACGAACAGTGATGAAAATACATTGCTTTTGTTTTTGTTTTTGCAGGGGCTCTGTTATTGCTCGCATCATTGGAGGAAATGTGAAACAACATCCGCAGTCCTTTGAGGAGGAAGTACAGATGTACGTTTATGAAGAGTTAGTGGAAGGGAGGAAACTAACAGATATAATTAACACTGAACATGAAAATGTGAAATATCTCAAAGGTCACAAGATCCCAGAGAATATCGTAAGTTGATGCTCGACCCGGTAAATATCTAAATCTTAAACCTATGCTTGGACTGTTTCCCAGCTGAAACAGAAATTAGTTTTTCATCAGCATTAAGGTATATTAAAAAGTGTTTGTATTCACGAGGAATGATAAGATAAGATGAATCTTCTGTAATTGGAGAAGGCTTGAAAATGTTGCTTTAGGCTGTTTTAATTGGTCTTTTTGCGTTTAACTTGTTTGCAGTACAGGCAGAATATTGCCGTTACATTGCAAGTTGAAAGATAATATAATTATTACTGCCAAATTTTCCATTAATCTTTGATTGGGTGGATTACAAAAGTAAACAGATGCTTGTGTTTGGACATGCAATATTAAAATCATACGTCTATTAAAAACAGAAACCACAACAACAATTGGTGATGTACAGTTTTATTGACAGTCTTAAATTCCTTTATAGTGGCTTATTCGTCATATCGCCTCGGTTTATAAAACCTTTTTTTAAGTTTAACACTTACAGTATACATACAAATTAAACAAAAGATGTATCAGTGTATACCATACACCGCCCAGATTCCAGCTGGTACCAGTTTTCCTGACAGAAGGGACTTGCCTTACTTTTTCGTGGGACTTTTTAGTTGTTGTGAAACAGATTATTCTGAAAGGAAAGGAAACAATCCAGCTTCAAATTGATTGGTTTTGGAGGGTTTTTTAAGTGAAAGACTGCCATTTGCATAACAGATTGACCAATAATAAGGATTTCTGACAGATACTATCTCTAAAATGACTAACCTACGTCTCAAGCGGAAATAATCACGAAACAGAAAAATGATTGTTTATATAACGTTCAGTGGCGTGATGACACAGAGCTATAGCCAATATTACCGCTGAGTCACTGAGCTTTTGGCTGATTAAATTGGTGAAAGAACAAAGTTTAATTTTGTGCAATAGTAAATTTACTGCATGTGTTATTTTCATGAAAGAACATTAAGGAATCCTAACGTGAGCCCAGCAAAAGGGGAAAAATGAAGGAAAGCAGTTAAATAAATTGAGATAGAAGTGAAAGATGAAAGTTAAAGGGACAGTGCCACTTTTTTGTCAAAAAATAATGTCTCTCTGGAAATTTTAGAACATGCTTGAACTTAAATGTAGAAGGCTATAATAAATTATTTGTAATTTAGTGCCTGACTTTTCATGGTGAAAGAGTGACCAGAAAATTGCTTGACTGTGTTCCAAAGGTATCTCAGCAAAACCTCCAAGTGTTTATGGGTTGTTTAAAAACCAAGTTCCCATGTGGTTTACTGCTAATGACTCTTATTTGATTGTAGAAAGCCAACCCTGATGTTGTCAATGCTGCAAATGGAGCAGATATTCTGGTGTTCGTTGTGCCACATCAGGTCATTATTTTATCATAAATGTTTTTGCTTACCTCTTGATTATGTATGTAACCCACAGTTCTGAAAAATTCAACACAAATGTCCTGAGCCTTTTTCTTTGCTTGTCACTTTGTTTTGGGAACATTCAAGGCTAAAAGGTAATGCTGATGTTCTCTCTAAACCTGTATAAAGAAGGCACGATTCATTGCTTGCATTCATTTCATTTAAGAAAGAAATTTAGGAAAGTACTTCACAGATTGCTTTCGGATATCTTAAAAAGAAAAGATGACTATATTGAGACACCCTTAATAGTTGAAAAAGTTCGATTAATAGTTTAGTGATTTCTGTATTAAAGTATTTGTTTGTTTGCTTGTTCAGATTTAATGTAATTAAAATAAAACTGTGATAGAATATTATTTATTGTAACTTCAAATTGTAGTTTTTCTTTCCTTTTCCTTTCCTTTCTTTTCCTTTCAATTTATTTTTCTTTTAACTGGTCCGCCTAGATTAGCAATTGCTATTTTGCGGGCCAGTCTATTGTAACCAATAGTCTTATGAAATAAAGTTGAAGTTGAAGTTAATAGAAATAAGACAGTGGCCTCTCATGTACTCTGTTATTAGAGTGATATGACAGACTCAATTGTTTGCATGGTTGTAAAATGAACATTTTTTTTTGCATTTCTTCTTTACCAACAGTTTGTGAAAAATGTTTGCAGGAAGCTTAAAGATAGCTTAAAGCCAAATGTGATTGCTATTTCACTAATAAAGGTAACGGAATATACATAAGTGAACGTGAAATGTACATAAGCAGGGAGTTCATTAGGTGTAGGAGATCGGAGAATTCTCCGTTTGACACGTAGAGCTCTCCGGCTAAAGGTCATTAGTAAAATCCAACTAGTGGTCTATTATCAATGCAGCATTCTCATTGGTTGAGCTACCACTAGGCTATATGTTGTAGCCCACTAGTAGCGAAAAGCACCGGCTTTGAAAACCAAAACAATGGTGGCTGAATTGCATTTTGTTAGCTAAAGTTAAGTTGTCTCGATATTTTTGACCAACTAGTTGGATTTTACTAAAACAATTATTCCTCTCGCCCTCATGGCCTCTGAGTCAATAGCCTGTTCAGCCTGCGGCCTCATGGGCTATTGACTCGGAGCCCATTTGGGCTCAAGGAATAATTGTTAAATATTATACGACTATTTTTTACTTGGATGTGGACCCTCTTCAAAAATATTTTCCTGCAATGTTACACCTTTTTCCTGCTACTAGAATTTTTAATGAAAAACCCTGCATAAGTGAACTACTATACATAGGTTGTGAATAGTGACCTAGCAACTTAGCACTTAGTAATGTAAAAATGTTCCCTTCTCTTTTCACTGTTTTATCAGTGCGACTTGTGCCTGATGGTGTCCTTCTTGTTGTGTGAGGGCTCCTGGCTGGGCTGCCAGTATTTCCAGCCATTGGTTCTAGGTTTCTTCTAAGAGCTTGATTCCACTGATTTGAGCCCTTGCAGTGTAGTTGTATCAGGCACTCCAACCACCATTAGTCATACAGTTTACACTGTTGCTACTCCATGGAGGGTTTTTGGCCCTCCAGCCTTTTTATGTTAAGATCCACTTGTTCCTCATCAAAACTTCCAGTAACCTCAATGGATTTTTTCTTAAACCATACAATACATTAGAATATAAAGGTGTCAGCTGTAAATGAGATCAAAAGTGTACAATTTTGTGCCTTCCTCGTAGCACATCTTTTGCCTACCCATAAAACTTTGTCCTTTTTTAACAGTTTGGTATCGCATGTAAATTCATGAGAATTGATGCAATTAAGGATGAGACTCACATTATGACTTGGAAAGAGTGCAGAAGAAATAGCATAGACCGAGCTGCTTCCCTCAAACGTCAGGCCAGCATCAGGGCAAGTGACCAGCAATATTTTTCTTATAAGGCCCTGGCGGGGTTGGCACCTGGCTCCAAACAAGGGGAAAGGGACATAAAAGAACCCACAATTCTGTCTGAAAAGACTAGGGGATGAAGATTAGTAGTGTGATCTATCTCTTATGCGTCAAGGGGGCTATTACCAGGGCTTCATGCTGTTGCAGTGACCGTGCCCAATTGGCGAATATGACATGTGTCATTGACTTGTGTATTTAGTTCATTATTTAACGCATTACATTTTCTTTGGATTGCTTTGTTACTCATATATCTTGTCAGTAACTGTGCTCACATTGTGGGTGGTTCCTCCTGAACAATTTGTTGTCTGTCCTCTCTGAATAAACTAAACATTTATTATTGCATCCACCTAAAACTAGCCCACAAATACCACCACCTCCAATCACTCTCTGTTGCTAGGCAGTGGCAGATCCAGGGGCAGGCAATATATTTGTCAGACTGCTGTATTATTGATAAGCCTTTACTATTAATTTAGTTGCTTTGAAACTGAAAACATTACAGCGAAAAGATCACCTGCAACTTTTGTCTTGTAACTTGTGTTTTATGGTGTCTTTCAACCATGTATGGGACTTGTTTAAATTGACATTATCTAGACAAATTGTTCCAAAGCTGTGTACTTTACTAGTGTAATGCCACAATCACTGCGCCAGTATATCATGACAACAGCAAGGTTTAAAAATGTAGTAGAAACTAAGGGGTAGTGGCCTGAAAGGATGGAAGTATTGGCTTTAGTAGTGGACACAAGTTTAACCCCTCTTAGTAAAAATTTCTTGATCTGCCTCTGGCTAGGGATTTTTTTCAAAGATAAATGCCCAACTGAGAGATAAATTTTTGAGATCTGTGCCTTTCCAATCCCCTGCTTCCCCTGTCAGGGCCTTAATTCTATTGAAGTTAAATCATGTTTCCAGGAGATGGTGCAGATTTGTTTTTTTTTTTACTTCTTTAAACATACAGTGTAATTTCAATATCTGCTCAAGCTGGAGATATGGGAGTGGTTACCTTTAAACTAGAAGGCACTTGCCCTGAAATAGCAGGCAGAGTTTTTTTTCCATTATTGTTATCATTGCAAACTGTTTTACAACACATTAAACTGCAATATTTGTATGGAGAAATTATGTATGATTACGATTCCTGCCCCAAGATGCTAACTTTGATGTTGAGCAAGTGTCATCTGGAATGAGGGAAATTTTCTTTTTTTTTTTTTTCTCTGCAGGGACTTGATCATTCTGCTGTGGGATTAAACCTTGTTTCCAATATTATCAAAGATGAGTTAGGCCTTCCTGAAGTAAGTGTCCTTATGGGAGCAAATCTAGCAAAAGAAGTAGCAAGAGAAATGTTTGGTGAGGCTACAATAGGTAAGGAATTTGTTTTCATTTTTTGAATCAACTCCCCCTTGTCCACCATGGGGTGAAACCCTAACCCTATTTAGTACAACACCCTCAATTTTATTACCCTGATCAGGACAAAGGACAAAATGTATGCTGTCTTGTTTTAAAGCCATTTATTTGCAATTGCAGTTGACCAAATTCATGTTATAATCATTGCTTTTGTACACTTGAAATACAAACAAAATGCATCTAGCAAATCAATTCAATCGTGCAGGCAATACCCTGTTGACAGACTCACATGAAATTGCATACCCTGTTTAGGACAAAAAAAACCATACTCTGTCCAGTGGCACACTCCAGTATAAGCCATATAAGTGAGAGGGTACCTTGCAACCCCTGGGTTTGTCCAGTGCAGATTTCAACACTTTAAGTGCTTGGTACCTCATGATAAAATATGACAGATGAACCCAAGTACAACAAACCCACTTTACAGTATGTCACATTTAAATCAGGTTGCAGAGTGGAAGAGCATGGAGCTGTACTGAAGGATCTGTTCCACACAGAGTACTTCAAAGTAAATGTTGTAAAAGATGCGGATACTGTTGAGCTCTGTGGATCTCTGAAGGCAAGTTTTGGTAGCAAGTCTTGTCATGAGTAATCACTAGTTATTTTCAGGGTTCTCCCAAAAATTTAAAGTTAAGGAGAAAAAAGTTATATGGGCAGCAATGCATTAGATGGAAAAGTGCTTTTGTGTGGGGCTTCAGAGGGTGATGCGTGCCTCAACTAGAACGTTTCTTCTAGAACTTTACCATTACTTTGATGTAATGCTCTGCAATAATTTTTTTTCTTAAAATTAATAGTGGAAAATGCACTCAGCTCGTCCAGCTAGTTTACAAGTACTTTGCTTAAATAAGAAAAAATAGAAAAAATAATCCAAATAACAGGATAAGAAACCCGAACTGGCAGGAGGCAACCAGTTGGCTAACAAGAGTGGCGGAGGATGTGAATTCGAGACAACCAAGAACAATTCCAGCAAGTGGCCAAAGTGGGACTCAGAACCATGGACCACCATATTGCGAGTCCAATGCATTGACCACTCAACCATGCTGCCTTCAGACTTCAGTTCCCACACTTTAGACTTAGCTGTATCATCACTAATTAAAGAGTTTTTTTTTTCTTTAGAATGCTGTGGCAGTCGGAGCTGGAGTTGTAGATGCTTTGGGGTAAGAAAACTTTTCTCTTTTTTAGTTGGGTATATTGACACAAGAACAATTGCAAGGTTTTAAATTGAATATCTATTAAAAAAAAAAGAAAATGTTACAGGGGCTATGTCATGTTATTTGGTATCCTTTTTAAAAGCTAAAACACATTTTGGATTACAAAAATAACAGGCCAGTTTTGTTATTTAAGACTATTTAATGGGTATTGAAACTGTTTCCTGTCGTCTGTTGCTTCGAATGGTAAGGATGGACATTGATTGAAATTGACTGAAACAAAACAGTTATTCCAGTTAGTGCTCCCTGATGAAATTTCTTTGATTTCCTTTTTATAACTCTACTTGAACATTTCTGTGTGGGAAGGGTGTAAAGACTCTAAGTATTGACTTCAGTACATAATAATTGACCTAAAACAGCAATATCCTAGTAACTTTGCCTCTTAAAAGAGAAACCTCAAGTTGTTTATAAGGTCAAAATAGCATGGCTCTTTTCATAATAAAAACATTGAAAGCTTCTTTAATTTTAGGGTGCAAGCAAATATTGTTGGGGCCAACCGTGGTAGTTACTTTAATCATGGTTTTGATCAAACCAATATGCTGTCACCAAAAGCAATGAAATAGCTTATAAAGTTAGCCCAACTGTATCAGCAGCCTATAGATTGTTTTTACTCATGTTGTCAGTAGCTGTCGCAGGGGCGGATCTAGGTGGAGGGTCCAGGGGGTGCACCCCACCCCCCCGAGATGACCTGCGGTTTTCTAATACAACTGGTGTTCTGCCAAAAAAAAACTATATGGTTTATTGGTGTTGAAGTAGAGCAAGAGACAAGTGCACCCCCTCCTAAAAAAAATCCTGGATCCGCCCCTGTGTCGTGACAATTTCTTGGAACGAAAGAAAGTTTTTAAATGAGGAAAGGCTTCAATTCCCACATGATATTTTTGGTACACCAGCATAACTACTGTTTTTTTTTTAAGTTTTGGAACACCAATATGGCCACTGTGACGTCATGTGAAAGTGATCTATAGATGGTTTGACTAAAGAAATAATATTATTCTTTTGAACTCTTAGTTATGGTGATAACTCGAAGGCTGCCGTCATCCGTATTGGGCTGAAAGAAATGATCCAGTTTGCTCAAAGATTCTATGAGAATGTTGAATTAGAAACATTTTTTGAGTCATGTGGAGTTGCTGATCTGATTACAACATGTTATGGTGGCAGAAATAGGATTGCTGGAGAGGAGTTTGTCAAAGGAAAGGTTAGAGGAATTAAATTCCAGCCCCAGTTGATCAGGGGGTAGACAGGGCTAACCCTGGAAACCTGACTGATATGAAATTTAGTGCTATCTATCTAAATTATGTAAATTTAGTTCTATTGCGCTTACCGGTCATCCCATGATCGCATCAGATTTGTTTCCATATTCATGAATGTTTTGATTGTCTGAACGCTCATTTTTAGATGTGTTAGCAAGGTGATCTGGACGATTAAGATTTTATGGAAGCTTAAGCTATTTCTATTTTTAGATCATAAATTTTATGCATTTCCTATCCCTCCTAAAATTATTAGACTGCTTGCAGTCAGTCTTTTCAGTGTCAGAGAGCAGATGTGGATAAAAAAGGAAAACCGCTTTTAGCCAAATAGCACTAGGGCAAGTTGAAAAAAGACATACTTTTCTTCCTCTTTGGGCGTGCACCCTAATTTCTTGCCGCTTACAGATTCACTGCTTGCTGCTTGTGAATGCTACCCTGGTAGCGTGGCTTAAAAGAGGCTGCTCGCAGAAAATGATACCTGGTGATAGAGCAAGCAGTTACTGTGCTGTTTTTATTATCTGATTATAGTATAAGTTAGACTACCATTACATGTTTCTCAGGTAGGGCCACATCCATTTTGACTATGTAGTAAACAACTTTTCCACTTAAGGAAAATCTTGAATGGCATAAAATAATTAATGCTAAGTAGACATGGCATGTATAAAACATGAAAACCTGTTCAAGGTAACATGGAAAAGTCTTGGTTCTTAAGATAGGCCATTACTGTAGAATCCTTAGTTTTTGTTGTTTTCAAATTAATTATGATAGAAGGTTTATCTAACTGAACAGCAAATCAGTGTCATTAGTGAGTAACCAGTGCTGCGTTCATCCTAACTTGTGTTTTTTTTGTGAATCTTAAGACATTTGAAGAGGTAGAGCAGTATATGCTGGGTGGACAAAAGCTTCAGGGACCACACACTGTCTACGAAGTTTATCATCTTCTCAAGGAAAATGATTTGTTGGATGAGTAAGTAACCATAGTGTCAACTCTGTCTTGTTCATCATTTTGATGATATTGAAATGAGGCCTTTTAAGTGGGGGGCGGGGGGTGGGGAGTGGGTGCACAGGGCTGTCACTAAGGGCCGGGGATTTCCCCCGGCTACTTTCATAGAGAACGAAAGGAAAATGGCACCAAAAGAACTTCCTAGCTTAACAATATCAATTCCGATATAATAAAATTCATACTTGGCTGCAAGGCTTGAGGGAATAATACAAAAGAAATCATCTTGAGGCTCGGCAATGAATGATACATTTTTTTGTTTTATTCCCGCAATCCTTGGAGCCAAGTATGAATTTATCGAAAATGGTCCATTCCCATCCTACTAATTGCGTATACTGGCAACTTGACATTTTAGCAACAGCCCTGGGGTACATATGTCCCAAGTTTAAATTACAAAACAGGTCTCTTTGCATAGTGAGGAGATAGCTATGTTGCTGTTGGTATTCAGTACTAGTGTATTTGTGATTGTCCTTGGCGTCATCGCAGTTTCAACCCATTTTTATGTGGTTTGTTTCCATGTCATCTGTCTTATGTTGCTGTTTCATTGTCATGTCAGTTATCGGAGTTTTCCTATAACAGGACCTCTGCAATGCCTTCAGGATTGGAAAATACTGTTGTCATCATCCTCGGAGACCCAGGGGCAGATAGTGGGGGAGAGGGAAAGTCTAAACGGGCAGAAAAATATGGCACGAACCAAAGTAAAGAACGGCGAGAAGAGCCCCTGGGGACAATGTCTTACCAGACCAGTTCCAAACGGTCGCCGCCGTTCTGACTTCTGATTGGTGCCAGAAAACTTTTGTGTTTTTCTGCCCAATCAGAAGGCAGAACAGCGGCGACCGTTTGGAACTCGCCCCCACTATCTGCCCCTGGGTCTCCGAGGATGTGTTGTCATTTGACTTTTTTCATGTTCAGAATGATTTGACCTTTCCTTTGCTTCACTTTGCTTGTTTTCAGGTATCCGCTTCTTACAGCCATCTACAATGTCTGTTTTGAGAAGCATCCTCCATCAGAGATGATAGAAGTACTCAAAAGACACTTGTAATCATGCCTTATGAAAACATAATCATAATTATTAGGTGATTAAGCAAGTATATATTTATTTATATTTTGTGGGTTTTTTGTGTCATATTCCTTAGCATCACAAGTTTTTTTAGAATTCCAGTGTTTTTAGTTCACCAGACCAGAGGACTTCAGGTAAATATTGTCCCTTTGGTCCTTGGTTGTATTAAAAACTGGACCTCCCCAGTGGCTTAAATCAACCAATGTCAAAATACTAATTTCAATCCAATCTCCATTAGTATTTTTACACTTTTTGATCTGATCGGTTCGCTATCTTGGGATATTTAACAAAATTATTCCACGCGCGCGCGTTGCATATGAGTTGGTAGTGTCGAGTTGGCTGTAAGCGTCTTGTATTGTTAAATATTCACTCCCAAGCGAGTGGATACTGAAATACAGAAACAAAATGCCTGGCATGAGCTCTGTGTTTGCCTAAGTTTAGAGAAAAAACGTTTGAAAATACAGGAAAATCCTAGCGTTGATGTTTGTAAAGGTAACAAAAGACTTCAAACTATTCATAACTGCTTTTTCTTTGTGAACTCAGGATTTCTTCACAAGACGAATTTTTGCCCAGAAATTGAAATCTGAATTTTTGAAAAAGCAAATGAAAGCAAATGTTTGCGAAAACTCTACTTGTCATCAAGTAAACAAGACAAAGACTAGAATCGTTAATTTACTTTTGCTTGCCTTTATTCGAGATTCTGGAGATGGTAGATTTATGGTATAGTCGGTCAGTCACAGAGTTATAATGCCGCAATATATTTGAAGAGAATTTCGAAAGCATTGCACACATGATATTTTACTGATATGGTGAAAATTAATATTTGTATGTATCCTTGATTTGTCGTCCTTTTCTATGGCTCTAGAGGTCGGTTCTTTAAATATCAAGGATGAAATAAGTCGGCTCCGTTGTCTCGGTTTCGCCGCTAGGTTCTTATATGATTTAGGAGAAAAACCTTTGACTGGCACCTTGATTGTTGTAAATAAATAGCATTTTTACTTATCTACACAATGTAACAAAGTTGTTTGTTTTTTTACTTTTATGTTATGATCTGAATGTGAAATAAAAGTGTCTGTACCAATCTAATCTATCACTGTGCAGTTTCGAGTTTCTAGCAATAAGGCTATGTTCATACTTTACCGGATAGCCTTTTGAAAAACTATCAGTATAGTCAGCCTAGTCCCTAGGCGTTCTCGGCTCGGTCAATCCTGGACTCTACCGTGAGCTGTGACGTCACTCGCCCTCTCCTCTCCAGACTTCGGGCGGACAACGGGGTAAGAGAGAACGCCTAGGGACTAGGCTGTGGTATAGTGTGAACACCTATCCGATATGTGGCTCTTCACTTAAGATATCGGCGTGTGAACAGAAGCTCTATCCGGTATGGTTTCCGCGCCGGCGCAAAAACTATACGGTATTTAGTGTAAACATAACCTAAATACGTGCTCTTTCTCGTACTCGTAGAGGCTTCTGCTTCCGGGGAAGGGGGGTACTCGACCAATATTTGGGTATGGGTGAGCCGCTGAGTGTTTAAAACCCTGACTCTGCTTAGGACAAAAAATTCCTCAAATACATACCCTGTTTAGGACAACAGTTCTGCTCCTTGTGTCCTAGGGAGTGGGGAAAGACGAAAAGAAAGCGCGCGGGAGACCATGGGACTGGGAAAGAGCAGGCCTTTCTCTTTCCCCGCGCTTGCTATTATTCAATTGTAAATTTTTTCTTTGGAATTCTCAGCCTCCGTGAAGGAGAGAGATATTCCATGGGATTTAACACACTAAAACGTTCTGTATTATATATGCCGCCGTTATCATATGCCTCGTTCCCAATTTCTGGGTAGTATTGGCTCAGTTCAGCAAGAGGTTTATAGTTTCTTCGTTACTTTTTTTTCTCGTTTTATGTTTATGTGACATTGCAGATTTATTACATAAAATTGCATATGCCGCATGTGGCGATTAAAGGAACACAATGGCACGACCTGCTAAATTACACTAAACTAGAATGATTCAGTCTAGCTCTGTGAGCTTTGACTCGTTATCTTACTGCAAACTTAACTCCGTTTCGACATTTTAATTTAATTTAAAATACTCGTCTAAACCGCAATTTACCCTTTAAGGTGGGTGTAACCTAGGCTGCGTTTAAATAATCCTCCCTATAACCTTGAACTTTAAGGTTTCTTTCCCAAGAATGAGTAGAGTGATTTTTGGTTCTTCTCGGCAGTTGTTGTGCTTTATTTTTCTAGCAAAAACAATACCTACGGCAATTTGCGTCAAGACATTGCTACAAATTGCGTAGACAGACCAATATTACAAAATTCTCAGATCCTTCAGTTTTCAAACGAGCCGCAACACTTCTTGCACAATGTGAAACTTACGCAGCCCCTATTACAAAATATACGTCAGGAAGTTATGACAAAATTGAGCAGAACACTGCAGAATAAAAGAAACTACTTCAACAGCAGTGACGCATAAAAGCTGTGCACGATAAATATCCAACAGTTTGGCCTTGCTTATCTTGGGAGGCTAGGTGACAAGGGTTTCACGCTGACGAGTGGTTATTTATAACTTTTTGAAGCCGCTCAATAACATCTTAAAACGCTACATATTTCTGGACTTTTCCTGAAAGTTATCACCAAATGTAAAGTCCAAGGTTTAAACGGGTCTGCTTGCGTTGTAGCAAATGCGATAAAACTTTCTAATTATTTTTAATTATAACATAGCTCACTTCAGGTTCTTAACAAGTTGCATAAACTTGAAGTTTATAGCTTCAAACATTAAAGTTATTGAAAGGAATTATAATTTAACATTAATAGTTGGGGAAACCCAAGCTTTAAATGCCTCATGGTTTGTTTGAACTTCTTCGCCGCCAGTTCTGGCCTTCTGGACTCTGTAACGTTTGGTGGCGAATACAAAAAATATTGAGTGTAATGTATGTTCACAGGTAGAGAAACATTTTCGAAGGCTGTCTGTATTTACAATGCAGCTTTGGTTAATTCTTCCCAGGCCTTCCTGAAAATATCAGACCTGTTTGGTTAGTTTGGGCACTTTTTTACTTGTTGTGAAGTGGAGGCAGTATCGCGCATTCAGCTTTCACTGCGCAGAACAAGATAGAGGTCATGCATGTAAAAGAACTTCCTCAGAAACAAAGTTAAAAGGGGTCGAACGAAGAGAAAGGCTTAAGCATTTTTCTGAGGAGAGTAAGCTGTAGCCGTGCTGCTGAGTTCTACTTTTTAGGTATTTAGGTATTTTATTTATTTGCCACACAATTACAATAATTACTTAAAGCTGCCAAAAGGAAAAAAAAAAATGTAGGAAGAGATGGCGAGGAGGCCTAAAAGAATCTATAGAGCTTATGTTAATTAGGCCTCCTCAATTACAATTTTTCGAAGATGGCATAAAAATTACGGCGACGGGTACAATATAATATCAGGTGAAAAATTAAACTAATCAATATTACGGAAGTTTACATGCACAAATGTTGAATATTAAAAGGCTTTTTCCCAAGATTTTTGTTGAAGTATACTAATAATTATTACAAATAAATGCCTTAAGTGCTCTTTTAAAGGAGAAAGGTGAGGAAGCGTTGATGACGTTGGTGTTTAAGGTGTTGTAAAATTTAGGTCCCTGATAAAAAACGGAAAATTGCTTGGTTCGAGTACGACAGAAAGGCAGACGAAATTTACACGAGTTTCTTGTATTATACGAATGAATTTGACTTTGTAAGGTAAATTTACAATGAAATTTTAAAGGTAGAGTATGGTTTTGATAGGAGTACATGAATAAGCCTAGTTGTGTTAAGTATATATCATGAAATTTTAAGATACCAAGATTTTGAAAGATTGGATCAGTATGTGCATCGAAAGTGGTTTTAGCTATAGTTCTGATCACTCGTTTCTGTAAAATCTCAAGACGAATAAGGTTAGTTCTGTAAGTAGAGGCCCAAACTAAGTTGCAGTAAAAAAGGTATGGATAGACTAGAGAAAAATATAGTGTTCGTAAGGTTTTCGTGGATAAATAGAAACTGGATTTACGAATAATTCCTGTGCATTTAGAAACTTTATTGGCGACATGTGAGATTTCAGATTTCCAATTTAAATTTTCATCCATGATTACTCCCAGGAAAACTGTTTCTTTCACTTGATCAATTCACTTTCTTTCACTTACTCATCGAGAGTGGGTTGTTGAACATTTGCTGAATCTACAATCTGCATATATTCTCTATCTTTATCACATTGTGTCCTTTCAGTGCTTTCTTTCACTTTTCATGGTCTTTCATGTACATGCCATTCTTCAGTCAAAGACCAGACGGTATTCAGGTTTTGCGGACTTTCTGCGTCTCTGCCCCAATAATAGCGAAAGCATCAGTGATGCACCACAATAACGAGTACGCTCAGCCCCTTTTTATTTCACGATTTTTATAAGGAAAGTGTTTCCTTTTAAAGACTGGCCAGTTTATTGGCAATATAGCACAGAATTGTACGGATTGATCCATGACGAGAGGAAGATGGAATGATCTGCAAATTAAGTCTAGTCTACTTTGGAACGTAAAGCAAAAATAAAGATTTATTTATTTATTTAGCTTCGCCTAACTAGAATACAATCTATACATGAGTACATAAAGAAATATTAAGCAGGGAGACCACTACAACCTAACCAACTGCAGTGGATTCCTCGTTAATGCAAAAAAATCGGTAAAAAAATCTTAATAACTAAAGCTACTGACATATAAATAAGAAAAATCAAGAGGAAACAAAACAGAAGTTCAGATTGCTAGAAGCAGCACGATCTTCAGAAGGTCAGGGTCAGCAAGATCTTCAGAGGATCAGGGTTTTCTGGTAAGTAGCCACTATAGAACTCAGTGCAATGGAAAAACCGAGCCCATTTAATTGTCTAGTTTAATTGGGCTGCGTGCGGTTCATCTTGCCAAAGGCTCCTAGTAGCGGTATTCGTCAGCATTGTGCAAAACCTGGAAAAGAGCACGCTGATCCTTTCTTTTTATTACATTTTGATCATCTTCTTGACTTATTTCATCAGTGTGCAAAGTTTGATTGAAGATCCGAGGCAGTACTAGAAAGCCAGCCATCTTCTCATGCATATGCTATTCGTCATGTCCTATGGCCGTAACCTAGAAAGTCATTGAAACTTTCCCTCATGCTTGCACGTTCCTGTTTGTGAAATGTCATTTTCGAGTAACCGCAGAATAAATGGGTGCATGCTCTTTAAGCAGTAAGGTAAAGAAATTCGGTTTGTCGGCTAACGCAACGGAATGGAACGCATACCAAGGATTCTACGCAATATACGCTCCGCAAACTGGGCATTTTTTCACACACTTAAATGCACCTCACAGTTTTTATACAATAATTGGCTTACATTACCGGCCGTATGGAAAGTATATTGCCTATTTCGTGGGCAGTTGCATTGCGCTTCGTTGCACCTTGTTTGGACTGTCGAGGATTTATGCTGGATACGATATTGAGCAGTTTTCAGAAATATTGCATATTTTGGTTTACCGCGTTGCGTCGTGTTGTGTTGCAGGCCAGTCGGAATTTTTCTTGGGGAGCTGCTTATGAACAAAGAATTAGGTGCGAATATCCGAGACACCGAGGGTTGGAGTTACTGGGGGCCAAGGGCGCCTTGCCCAACCGAAACCGGAAGACAGGATTATCTGAGGTAAGTATAGACAATAGATGTCGCCCCCAATAAGGGAAAATCTAATAACACTTTTCACTACGTGGGATACGCAGCTGTCTACAGTCACACATGGAAGAAATTTTCGTTCATGATCAATAGAACCCCGTTAATGGCAACATCATTGGTTCAAAGTTGGTTGCGGTCTTAACGAGATGGTTTTATAAAGGGTTCCACCGTACCACGGAAGAGATGATAGACTAAAATTTGGTCAACTTGTTACAAAGTTGTAAGCGTAGATAGTACTTTTTACAATAACTGAGCGAATCTTCCTGATTGGTCGAGAGCTATGGTCCATGAGAGTATAGACCATGGAAATGACGTAACATCTCACGTAGTGCCGGTTGTTTTGTTTTTTTTTTTCGTAGAAAAATAAATGTTATTGCAAAAAACAAGTGGACCA